AGTCTAAAAAAATAAAGGGTAATTTTATAAATTTAAAATATATAAAAAAGTTTAAGTATTAAAAAATAATAAATAATAATTTATTATATTTTAAAAACTAAGTTTACATGTTAAAGTTAGTAGCATTATATAAAAAAATTATAAAAGTAAATTATAATAAACCCCAAGGCGGACACTAAAATATTAATATTATTATTATAAATATTTTATAAAGGTACTATTAGCCAAATATAACTAAATATATTAAAAAGCATGTTAAAAAATATAATAAATATTAATAAATTATAGTTTATAAATATAAGCTATATAAACTTTTAAAACTACTAAATTTATTATAAGCGCCTGTAAAATAAATTAGCATAAATTTTATTACTAAATTATTACTTATAAAGTATAATAAGCGCGTGTACAACGCCATTCTAATAATAATTAAAATATATACTAAATTTATATAATATATTTCTTACTTAAAAAGCATTAATATAAAATAACTTATAAATACCCTTATAAATAATATTTTTTACCTTATTAATATACTAAAAAACATGGTTAGCAACTATAAAAGCCTTTTTACTAGTATATTTTAGGCCATACTAAGCCACTACCTAGGTATAAAATAAAAACTATTTATTATATATTACCTATAAATAAATAGCTAAACTAAAAGGTAAAACCAAGTCCTTAAGTACTATCTTCGCGCTTATATTAACTAGTACTAAAATAATTAACCACGCTAAATTAAAATAGCGTAATTTATAAATAATAACATATATAAATAATTTATAAGTTACATACTTATTAAGGCCCTTATAAACTTAAAAGCTATTATATATATTAATATTAAGAAACCCAAGCACGCGTTAAATATTAAACTTTAAAAAATTATAAAATTTAAAAAGATCCGCGCAAAGCTAAAAAAGCAATTATAAAAATTAAAAAAAGTAATAGCTATATAGTATAATAAAAAGTGTAAAAAAATAAGCTTTAAAATTAATAACTATATTATATTTTATATAAAAAATATTAAGTTAGCAAGGCTAAATTATAAATTAAGTAAGATACTTATTAGCCTATTTTTAATAATTATAAAATAAAAAAGGTAGTTATACAAGCTACTACTCCTACTAAATATATACTAGTTATATAATATTTTTTATATTATACTTTTAAAACCTTACCAAGGTAACCTATCCTAAGCGCTAAATATTAATCTTATACTAGTAAATAATAAAAAAAAATACTTTATTAAAAAAATTTTTAATATTTATAAATATAAAAGTAAAGTGTAATACCTTGTAAAGTAGCAGGGTTAAAATAATATAAAAAATAATATATAAAAGCTAAAGGCTTATATTACTAAAACTATAGTATTTAATAAGTTTAAGTAATTTTATAAGAATAAATTACAAAGGGTAAAAAAAGGTATACTTAAAAGTTTACTTTTTACAAGCTACAAGTAATTATAAAAAAAAAAAATATATTTTATTTTTGCTAATTAACAGCGCCCACAGGGCCTTTAGTAAAAAAAAAAAAAAATAAAATAAAAAATAAAATAAAATAAAAAATAAAACTTAAATAAGCGCCTAAGCAGCACAGCGCGCAAAACCTTAAATACCTAATATAAAAATAATACCTAGCAAGGCACTAACACTAACCCTTAATATAAAAGCTAATTAAATAATAACCCTAAATAGTGCCGTAGCGCAATAAATACTAAATTAAAAAAAATATAGGTTTATAATAAAGTTAGTAATATAATATAAGGTAAATTAAATATATAAATATATAATTAGCAGCTAAAGCCGCGCTGGTATAAAGGGTAAAAATAGCTATTAAGGCAGCGGTGGTAAAAGGCCTAAAAATATAAATAAAAACTATATATAGTATTAATATAAATAATATTAATAAAGCGTAATTATAACTTATAAGTAATAATATTATTATAAATTACACGGGCACTAGCTAAAAAAAATTCTAAACTAAATATTAATATAACTAAACTAATAAAAAAAATAACTACACTTATAGTCGCGGTAGCCTAAATAGCTATAAAAAAAATATTATAAGCTTTTTTTAATACTATAATATTTGTGTTCTCCTGCGGACTATTATTATTAATATATATAATATTATATAGGCCTAGGACCTAAAGTAATTTTAACTAAATTATAATTATATTAAATATAATATACTTTATTAGGGTCCTATAATTATTTTTATAATAATTATATTTTTTACCCGCGGGCTTAATATATTTAAGATACTAGGTTACTACCTATATATAAAAATAATAATTAATTTTTTAGGTAATAAAAAGCATGTATTAAAAATAGTAAGCCTAAAATAAATTAAGGGGTAATAAAGTAAGGGGGGCCAGGGTAGGTACTAGAAAAGCTAGGGCCAGGGCTAGAAGTTATATTAAAAGTATAAAAAAAATAATAATAATAAAGTTAATAGCGGGGGCGGCAGCACAAGCATAATAAAAATAAGTAATTTTAAAAAATATATTAATAATTAATATTATAAAGCATGGGTAGGGAAATATAATCCCTATATACTAAGGGTAAAATAAAAAGTAAAGGTTAAAACTAAGGCTTAACTATTATAATAAAAAAATATAAAATAAAACATTATAACAAGCTAAATAGCCACTAATAATAGTATTTAAAGTATAATATAAAATTATATTAGGTATTAAAGCAAGAGAAACACAAAGTAAAAAGTAAATATAAAAAACCTTAAAAAATAAAATAAGGTTAAAAACATGTAATATAATAAAGGCTATAATAAAGGTAAACCATGTTTAATTTAACTATTAAAAATAGTTTTAAAAATATAAAAATAAAAAAAATTAAATATAAAAAGCTTATTAATTAAATTAAAAAGGTAAATGCGCAGTAAGGCATAAAAAAAGGTAAATAAAAGGCTAATATAATAATATATTAATAGCTAAAATAAAATAACCATATATTATAAATAACTACTAAAAGTATTAAAAAAAGCGTAAAAATAAAAAAATTTAGCTATTTAAAGCTTAAAGCTATATTATAATAACTAAGTATAAAGTAAAATAAAATATATAAACCTAATAATACTAACATATGGCTAACACCACTAAAATAAATAATACCATACTTAAAAAGCATAAAAAAAGGTAAATATAAAGTATTTTAACTTTAAAAATATAATTAAATAATTAAAAAGTAATAAAAATATAATAAAAAAGGTGTATACTTATAAAAGCCATCTTGCTTTAAATATTAAAAAAATTTAAAAAAAAAAAAAAAAAAAAGAAATTATAAGAATACTTTAATATTAAAACTAAAATATTATACCTAGCCATTGCAGGCAGCAATGCTATATTTAAACTTAGTAATAAAGTAAGGTAATTAAATTAATTTTTTACCCCTAACTTTAAATATAAATTACATGCGAACTATAATACTTTATAAACCTAAAAATAACTTATTTTATAGCRCTTAATAAGATTTATAATTTAAATTACTTTTTATAAAAAAAAAACATAAATTTATAAATTATAAGGGCGTGATTACTTAAAAAAAAAGCACTATTATTATTACTATAGTATTATAATTATATAATATTATAATAATATAATCTAGCAGCCTAAGGCTGCCTAATAAAAAAACTTTAGTATTAATTTAACCGCGCGCCAAGGCGGTGGTTAGTTATATAATATATAAAATATTAAGTTTAACTTAAAACTTTAACTTAAAGAATTAGCAATTAATTCCTACTATAAATATATAACGCTTTCCTATTGCGGTAATTCATGTTCTCTTAATCTCAGCGCAGTATACAAAAGCGCCTTACAACATGGCTTATTTACTTTTTTAAATAACTTATAAAAGTTTTTATTTATTATTATATAAATTATTACTAAAAAAATATTATATAAAGTTATTTATTTTTTAAGGCGCTTATTATATATATTATAGGCCTTAAGGTATTTTTTATACTTTTTAAAAATTAATATATTTTTTATAATCTTAAGTTTTTTTAGTATAAAATAAACCTTTTTTTTTAATTACTTTATTATTATTAGTTTAAAAATACTTTTTTTTTATTTTTTTTATATTTTACTAAAGTCTTTTAAAAGCGGTTTCCTAAGCTTTTATTTTTTTAAAAGTTATTTTTTTTTAATATTTAAATTTATATAATTTTAAATACTTATTACTTTAGCATAGTTTTTTAACTAGTTATACTATATTAATTAATTATTATTAGTATTTAAAATAATAAAAACCTTACTAATTATTAAGGTAGGGTTAAAAAAATTTATAATAATAAGTTATAGGTAGCTATAAGTACTTTAATTTATTAACTAGCTATTATATTTTATAATTAAATATTTTTACCTAGTAAAGTACTACTAAGCTTATAACTAATAATTTTATAAGTTAATTAGCTTAGTAGCGCTAGGTAGTAATTTAATATTTATTTAATAATAAATAATAAAATAACTTTAACTAAAAATAACTTAATAAGTATAAATAATAAAAGGTCTAAATTTTAAAATATTTAAAAAAATTAATTAAGGTACTTTAAATAAGCTATATTTTAAAGCCCTAGCCCTATTATATTTAAAATAATAAGTAAATAAATTTAAATAGGTGTTCTTTAATAAGCGGAGGAAAAATCTATTAGTAATTGGCCTGAGGCATCCACAAGTCTGACAACGCTTGGGATTCACTAACACTGGAGACCGAGCGGGAAAAGGAAAATGCCTGAGGCCTCCATGCCGACAATCAATATTCAAGAACGCCTCTGCTCACCGCTTCTTTGTGCTCCTTGATTCAATAAGCATCATGAAGTTATTCTGTTGTCTCTTCCAAGGTCTGCTCTAACCATCCTGATCTTGAAATGTTTTGGTAATTATACATAATCTCGCTCTGAACGATGTGATACTAACAAGATGCAGCCAGGCTGACCCTCCGATCGAGCGTTCCATCTCGCAAAGGGCTCCAGATACACTTAAGATGGGGTCACGATTTCTTTGCAGAAAAGTTCAAAATACCAACGTTATTACGAGCAGTTTGACCAGTTGGGAGGACACAGATGGCAGCTTCTGTCTCTTTAATGATGATAGCGAGCTCTCATTGTCTGAGCAGCCACTCGGAGACCTTCTCTATCAAGCTGGCACATCATCTGCAGTGTGGGCAATTGGATCCAACGCGATTTGCAAGGTCAAAACTTGGACTAATGGGATGGACATGGAGAGCGATACTCTGGCTTTTGTTAAGGCCAATTTCCCTAATATCCCGGTTCCCGACATCATCTACGCGTGGCTAGATGAGAAGCTAAGTCGATCGTTCTTAATCTTAAAGCGTGTTCAGGGGAATACTCTGGCTCAGGTATGGCCTTCTCTCACACCAGAAAAGAGAGATGGCATAGCCAGTGCTGTTGCTCAGTTTTGCTTCGAGCTCACGAATCTTACATCAAACAAATTCCAATCAGCAACAGGGCATGGAGTTCTCGAACCATTTATGAACGTACGCGCCAAAGACTCTCATCCATCGTGGAAACCCCGGTTATTAGGGCCGATGTCTGCTTCTTCCCATCAAAGTTATCTGCAAAGGATATCAAGGATTTACAAACCGCCTGTTACTACGGCATTCCACTTCTATCACGCGGACCTTGGGCCAACAAATCTATTGATATCAGATGATGGCAAGATTAAAGCAATCCTGGACTGGGAATCAGCAGGCTTTTATCCGAAGTATTGGGTCACCTTGAAGCCCTACATGAGCCTAGGTTTCTGCCTCCCGGCTGCTGATGATCGTTATGCTTGGGCAGACCTTCTACCCGCCAAACTCGCGGAAATGGGGTTTGTGCTGGACATGGCGGATGTTGCGTGGTATAAAGCCCTGGATCTGAGTTTTTTGGACACAGATATGTTCCGGGATGGTTGAAGGGCGGATAATAACAAACCGCCCGAAGGTGCCTTTTTGATTTTTCAAGTCTTGTTACGCAGAATCAATCCCCTGGGGTAGATATAAATAAGATTTAAGTCCCCTATTCAGCTTGGTTTATTTATGCTCTCCGATTGGGCTGTTATTGGTTGGGATCCGTCAAGCGGCTTTAACCTCGCTCCTCTGGTTCTCAAGAGCTTCGCTGAGGGGGTTACAAACTTCAGATTCCTCGACCAACGCCCTTGGAGTGATTTTCGATCCCTTTCAACAAACCTCCGCCTAAATTACTTCTCAGTCTCTTCCCAATGAAGCTTTCTGTGCATCAGTTCAAAGAGATGCTCGTCTTCGGCATCTGAATAAGGACGGGCCCGTTGGCGGCTTGGGGACGAACGAGATGCTTCTGCGGCAATAGACGTGAAGTATAGATAAAGACGCGAATGGCAAGCAGCACTGGAAAATAATGACCCAGCAGAGTCCCGCTTACTTCTTCCAGAGCGACCGATTAAACAACCAAGAGATGATCAATAAGGTATGTTAAACTTATGCAGGTGCTCTCTGGTGTACACCGCGTCCTGGCTTCTTCCCCATAACTGGTTAATACGAGTAGTACAATCCCAACACCCCTTTGGCTGAGGTCAGTTCCTGTCAAAGCAATCCAAAGCTATCTGTATCATCCCTCGACCATCCCAGTGTTTGGTGATACCAACCATCTGTTCGAAGCCTTCAAGCAATGAGGCGATCATTATCAGCTTCCGCGAGCTGGTCCTTTGAGATATAACTGATAATTGTTCACGTTACTGTTGATTGCAAATAGGGCAGACTTGGAGGTCACGGTCTCATACATCTTGGTTGACCGCCGTGAGTAGGTACCGTGGAGAACTTGCCAGGAGAAAGGGCCAATCTGGTCGAGGCGCCGGTCTGTCGAGACTGCATGTGAGCAAAACAACATATCTTCAACCGGTCACCCCCTTCCGCCCGGGTCATTTGTTAGATCTCTCGGGGTGTCTCCGAGTTTGTAGGTTCATGTCTGCCGAAGTTGACGCCCCCACAGTGGAGCCCTATCCTGACAGCATGCTTACAGAATGCTTATCCCACGCGCTGGCCATTCCGGTTGAGGAATATGGATCTGATAACGTTTGTCCTGACAGGTGCCAAGGCATGTTAAAGGAGCTTGGCCTCACCAGAGGTTACGCAAGCTTTCCTTGCTTCTGCAGAAGCAGCAGGCTTGCAGCATCATGCGATGGGCCGGGTCTCGGGAGACGTTGCGGGTTGCTGATGTATAAAGCCTACCTGATGTACCTCACTCCTTCATTTCTTCATCACCAATTTTCCATACTTCTTATCAGCCCTTCTCAGTCATCAAGACCTCCCAACTGGCCCATCATGCAGCTCAAGGTTCCTTTTCCCGTCCCTACGCCGTACGAATCCAACTAACCTCACCACCAGACCCTCCTCCCTATCCTCTCGGTTGTTGCCGGCACCTCCGCAACCCTCACCGTCTCCTTCAGCGGCTTCTACTACGCCTCCTGCGCAACACCCAGCATCATGGCGGCGAACCTATTCTCCGGCGCCTGCGATCCAGTCCAGAACCTGCCCATCCAGTCGTTCAGCGCCCATGTTTACTCCGGTACTTGCGACGACGCGTCTACATCGCCGGTCTTGAAGCTCTACACGCAGTCTGGATGTGGTGAGGACAGCTTGTATGGGGAGTATGAGCTTAGTGATGAGGAGACGTGCTTTGACTTTGCGGAGAGCGAGACGTTTGTTAGTGGTGAGGTTGTTTGTCAGTAATTGGTTCGTTGTTTGGATGGTTGATGATGAAGTGGGTGAGGGTTGTTGTAAGTCGTGATGGTGTGAGACCGGTCCTGTTTGTATACACTGGGCTGGTGTCCACGTTGGTTATGGGGGCGATTCTGTTGTTTCCGGTGGAGGATGAGTCTGTACACCTTACCTTCTACCTTCTAAGTACATTAACTCGGCCCAAGTATTCTGTGTAAAAAAAACAATTCACTTTCAACGCTGCAGCTAAAAGACGACGTGGAAGAATGGTACGGAATTACCCCGGTCTTAAACAGCTGTTGAACCGAGACATTAATAGGACCAAGACAGCTAGAGTACAGCCATACCCAACCTGGATACTGAACTCCATTCGAGGCCGGGTTACCTAGAATTAATGCTAGCCCTAGAAAAATGGTCACAGGGTACCTAGGTGAATGTAAGTCCACCATTGCCGTTGGTATATCCATGGATATTTCAGACTCAACTCATGCCAACTACATTGCCAACCACAGCAACTCTTGTTCAAGGCCACAATATTGGAATTGGGTGAGTCAAAGCTCAGAAGGGTGGATGCTCCCTCTGCATTCATCATCTTAACCCGGCCGGCTGACGAACTGCACTCAGCAGGCCTCTTCAACTGCAGCTGGATTTTGCCAATCGCGCAGCACTCAGTGCTGTGTTCACCTAGCGGTGAGGCAACCTGTAGGTTTCTTCACTTCATGCACATGTAGAAGCAGTATAGACCGGGTGCATCAGCGGCCCAGGGTCTCGGGGAGCCCGATCGGCGAAGTCAGCTAGGACCCCTCTTCCTCGAACAATTCAGAAAGTAGGCCATTCTGGGCGTGCGCTGAGAGCAGCCAGCCAGCCAGCCACTGGTCTGTGCCCAGCCAGGTTGGGTCGCTCGGACGGCAGTTGCAGGGGTCCTCCGGCTCCCATTGGCAGCCACACGCCGTCGTGTCTCTGCTGAAGAACGCTTACTGGCTGCGTAGATGCTTACGCCATCGCCCATGCAGACAGTTCCTCAGCTTGCATGAACATGCAGATTTCCGAGTTCGATGGCTTTGTTTGCTTTCCCCGATTACGAACCATTTAGCGTACGTCCCCTCCCTCGGGCTTCCGCGGATATGCTGCTGCTTGCGGAAGTAAGCTACAACGACCTATGATGAGCGGTGGCTAAGCTGAGGGCCAATGGATCCGTGCTTCGAGGATACACAGCATGAACTGTAGTCGAATCGACAAGATTTCCCCTCTTTTCTAGCCCTTGTCTGTGCATTGCGAACTTGACCACGAAGCTCTTCTGCGGGGTTCACGCAGACGGGGACACCGGCCAGCCAGCCATCGTGGGTTTGTTGATGCGCCGTGGGCTGGCTGATTCCCTCGTTGTACCTGTGATAGTGCTGGCAGGGTGCTTGCGGGCTTGGAATTTATATACCCACGTTGTCCCCCCTACCAGGTATCGCCTCGCTTCTTCTTGTCACCATCACACTCCCAGTCTCATCTCAGTCCTACCTTTCATAGTATCGCCAATTTATTGACCTCTATACACCCACGCGGCGATTTTTCTTCGTTCAGCATGTCAGCGAATCCCCCGCCAACCGAACCCCTGGCCGCGGTGCCGCCTCAACCTCCCCAAGCTACCGAGACTCCCCAGGCTCCTGAGGCCCCTCAGCCCGCTCAAGACTCCCAGGCCCCGCAGATTGTACAGGTTTCGGAGACTCCTACTCAGTACCCCCAACTGTCTCACCTCCCCCAGGCCCCTCCTACCCAGCCCCAGCCGGCACCGGCGGAGTCACAGCCCTTTCAGCCCCTCCACCAAGTTGTTACCTATGTCGAGAACCACAAGCGTAAGTCATCCTGCAATTGTTGCACGGAGTTTCCTTGAGCCTTCGCTAAAATTACCCTTTGCTTTGCTTTGCAGTAGCAAGCCTCATCCTCATTACCCTGTTCTACCCATACGTCGGAAAATGGAGCGCCCAGGTTTCGACCACTACTTCGTGTACATCCTCCCCATATGTCGGATACTATGACCCTGTCATCGCTACCATCCTCAGCGTTGTCGCCGTGCATCAGAACCGGTACACCTCATGGCAGGCACGCTTCGCCTATCTGCGGTGGACATCTTTCGCCTCGACATTCGAACGGGCCCTTGGAGGAAGCACCATCACCGTGGGCCTTGTGATCAGCCTGCTCTCCCCATTCCCCATTGCATCCCTAACCACCGTCGTCCTCATCGCGTGGCAATACATCGTCGTCTCCTACCACAAGGAGATCCGCCGCATTGCCGCCTTGACCGATGAGATCTCTTCTCAGGCCAGGGCAGGTGTTGACAGCAGCCGGCTCTATGCGTCGTCCGTCACCGCATACGAAAAGGCGATCCTGCGTCTCGTCGCAGTCCTAGTCAACGACACCGGCCGCTACAACCTGGACGTCTACAGACCATCCCCAGGCATCGGTCCCCTCCTCACAGGAAACATCGAAGCCATCACCCCAGCCGCCAAGGAAGCAACGGCCCTCGTAACAACCTCCTGCACGAACCTCCCCAAGGCCCTCTCCGCCCTCGAACACATCAAGTACCTCTCCGACAAGGCAAACCTTCTCGCCCGGCACGGCGAGATCGCCGAAGCAGACGCTCTCCTCTCCCAGCTCTCCACAGCCCTAACAACAATCCGCGAAGTGGAAGCCCAACTCCTCGAAGCAAAGACCAAAGCCCACGACATCGCCGTCAAAATCCACCTCGACGACCTCGTCGCCTCCCACAAGAAAATCGTCGACCAGCTCACAGCAGCCGCCGCAGCACCCCCTCCGGCCCCCCCACAACCCACCCCTGCACCCGAGGAGCCCCGCCGCGCAGACCCCTCGGAACTCCCCAACGCGGTGGTAAGCCAGCAACCCTCCCTCCTCACCCACCACCACCCCGCACGCCCCCGGCTAACATGCACCCTCTTGTAACAGACCCTCCGCAACCCCAAAGTCATCGTCGGCGGCCTCTCCGGCGCCCCCGAGGACATCGACGACCAAGCCTTCAAGCTCGACATCCCCTTCGCCGTCTCAGTCTACGGCCACTCCAGCTCCACCCTCTGGATCATCGACAACGGGATGATCTGCCTCGACCAAGCGCCGACCGCCAGCCCAGCAAGTGTGCGTACCGGCCAGCAGCTGCCCTACCGCGACGGCATGGCGCCGTACTGCCTCTTCCCGCTGTGGAAAGACCTCAAGATCACCAAGGGCAAGCCGCACGGTATCTACTGGGACGTTGAAGGCGCCGCGCCGAACCGAAAACTCATCATCGAGTTCTATGTCACCCGGTATAACATGGAGGACCAGTACTTCCACTTCCTGGTTATACTTGAAGAGGCGAGGCAGAATGTTGCGACGTTCCGGTACTTTGATGTGCAGGATCAGGGGGCTGAGGGGACGGTGGGCGTGCAGGGGCCGCAGAGTGAGTCTCCGTTTCTTTGGCAGGATAGGGTACCTGGGTAGTTGCTGACACTTTCCAGACTATAAGTTGTTCTCGTTCAACCAGCGCAAGATCTCGCCTGGTCTGGAGCTCGTGTTTAATACGACCCCCAACGTCAACCGCGTCGAGACTTCGAGTTTCGAGGTGCCGGCGCACTAAGCTTCCATTTTTGGGCACATCCTTGCCTCGCTCAGTATGCGTTCTTCTCAAGGGCTATCAGTGGTGCCAGCCAGGGTACTGGAGATAGCACACATCTTTCCCTCTTTGCATTGCATCCCGTCCCTTTCGCCTTCTCATCCCAGTTCCCTACTCTGCTTGTAGTCATAGTTTTAATTGCATGCAATCTTAATTTATCTAGATCTTGAAGCCGCGGTATATAGCAAGAGCATCCGAATTCGGGCAGTGAAGATAGGTAGCTGGGACTCGGTACCGTAGCAGTGTATGCCTGGCAAAGTAGTTTGGTATCGTGTTTGTCGCTCGGCGGGGTAATGTTGGAGCCAGCCAGCCACGTAACTGATTGTGCAGGGTGCAAGGCTTCGCGGTCAGGTGCTACTCCGTACTGTTCAATACGCGGCAATCTGACATGCATGGCGGGCCATGAACTGATTGGCGGGCGATTACGCATCTTGCTGTCGTACGGGGATAGGTATGGCCCAGCCTGGCCCTGTGGAATGTTCCTCAACTGGGTAGGGGAGCAAACTGATTAGTGTAGGTAGTGTAAGGGCTTCGAGTGGTAACCCTAACAAACTCCTTCTGAACTAGAGTGCACCATTATATATATCTGTCATTTTCTTGGCGGAACACGCTGATCGGGCAGTCATTATTGATGGAACTTGATGTACTTCGTCTCCAACAGCCCGTTTCTGATGGGCACTGGCCGTCCATCCAAAGATCTCCTAAGGACAAGTTTCAATGCAATGGAATGAGGTCTCGATTTGCCAGGCAAACAGCAAGCTGAAGAGAATCCCCGCATCCGACCCCGCTCTCTCGGATCTCTTCCGGATTTCCCCGCTTGACGTTGACATCAACTCAGATGCCACCCATATGCTCCGGATCCGTCAAAACTTCACGAGAACCATGGAGGGCCGTTCGAAGGGGATGAATAGATTTGCGGTTCCATCTCCCGGCCCCTCAACCGCCAACGTGACGCGCAAACGCAGAAGCACCACCTGCGACCACTGCAAATAAGTCTCCCACCCGGGACAACTTAGGTGCACAGGCTAACTGCATCTACGAGGAAACACGTAAAGTGCGAACCTACCAGAGCGCCCAGCTGCAAGCAATGCGAGAAGGACGATGTACCCTGCACGCAGACGAAGACGCCCATCCGATTCAGCGATGTATCCGGGAAGATCGGCAAGGGGGCGACGCCGTCTCTGATGCCTAGGTCTAGGATACCAAGTGAGATCTATCGGTTTGAGCAGATTCTAGGCGCTAACCTGCGCAGAGAAGCTGGTGTACGTTGATGAGACGGCTGAGTTGACCGCGATGTACCAGCACGATGACGAGATACAACGACCTACTGACGGAATTACCGCGGAGAGATCAGTGCCTATCTCGAGGGTATCCCAGTGCCCACCATCTAATGACGCGACTACCGAGCCATTTCATGGTGCTTCGCAGTCAAGACCGTCCCCCCCAAACGACCGTTTACCACCGGGGCCATCCGTCCTCGACGGCCTGATCAAGCCCCCATCGACCATGCCACACTCGCCCAACAGCACCCTGGAATTCGGGCTACTGGGCTACTTCATCGACCACCTAAGCATGTGGCTCGACCTCTGCGACCCGGAGCGGCATTTCCAGCTTGTCGTCCCGCACCGGGCCAGACGCTGCCCACCCCTCATGAATGCAATCCTCGCGGCATCCGCTCGCCATCTCACGCGGGTTCCAAAGTACAGGACCGCTTCCGGCGCGGTAGAGTATGATGGACGAGTATTGCATGATCTCACTGATGAAACGGCGCTGCATTATCATAACAAGTGTATCCACGACCTGCTGGAGTTAGGGGCGAATCCAGACCAAACCGGGAACGAGGACTTGCTTGCAGCGGCGATTATCCTGCGCTTTTATGAGGAGATCGACTATCCGCTTCAAGACGAGATGAGAGATAATGAGCTGTTCCTGCGGGTGATCAACATGTTCATCGAGGCGCAGAGCCCGGACGTCCCACTTCCTAAGGGACAGATATCCGTCACGACAGAAAGCACAGCGAGCGAGGCAATCGATCACTTCCTCGCGCTAAACGAGACTCACAGCAAAAGCTCGCCACCGACCGTCTCAAACACCACACTAGAATCCCGCTGGTACATGTCGACCCTGCGGCAAGCCTCCTTCTGGGTCGCCTTCCGACAAGAAGTCTACTCAGCCTTCCTGAAGCAACGCCCCCTGACAATATCTCTCTCGCGCTGCGCCATCTTCCGCTCCTTTACAACCGGCGAGGACGCCCTCTGGACCGCGCGGCTGGTGATTTTCGCCGCGGACGTGCTGGAATTCTGCTACGGGAACACCGCACACCCACCTGCAGCTACCATTGCCCACCACCCGACAAACTCGAAAGAGCGCTGGACCGAGCTCAACGCCCTCTCCCAGAACTGGATCACGCACCTCCCATCAACCTTCGAACCAATCTACATCCGCGAAGCCAGCCCCCAAAAAGACGAAGTCTTCCCGGAGATCCGCTACGCAAGCAACATCCACGTCGCGGGCGTGCAGCACCTCGAGCTCGCGCGGGTCCTGCTGGCCGTGTATGATCCGAGTATACCGCGGTTGGGACTGGGGTATCGGCAGAGCATGCGTGGTCTCAGCGAGAAGCTTCGAGCTGCGCTCCTGAGACTGTGCGGGATCGCCGTGTACAACCGGCAGAATCCGCCTTCGCTGACGACGGCGTTGTTGGGGATTGTGGTTTGCGGGGAGTACATTGCAGATGCAAAAGAACAGCGGGCGCTCCTTGGGTTGTTGGATGAGTTGGAGTTTCACCATGGATGGCCGGTTGCGAGTTATAGGGGGAGGCTGAAGGGGGCGTGGGGGTGGGATGGCCGGGGGGTGTAGAGCACCCCCCTCCCCGGCCCGCGGGCGTACATAGCGCAGTAGACACGATTCAGCACAATGCCAAACGGCGACAATGGAAACGATGCTGGACTGGACATCCCAAAGAAGGTCGTAGTCGAAACACATGGATAGATGGTGCGGTGGGATGGCGCCGAGCCCGGAACCCTGGTTGTCGTCCGCCGAGGGGGGCAGTGCAGCGCAACCCACGGAATCCCGCGCCACGCCATCACTCAATCATCGAGGTATGTATGACAGCTGCTCAAGCTCGCTAATCATCAATCCCGCTCGACGTCTTGGCAACCTTGACACAATGCTCCGGTCGGGAGATGCGGTCATCGCCAGAGCACCCCGGGCTCGAGGTCCCTGTAGGCGTCGTCTGTCCATGGATCATCGGGTGATTTTGCCTGGATGACGGACACAGCCTCGCTCGGCTGTCTTGGAGATTCGACTTGCTTTTCTTATTTGAGTCTCTGTTTCCTGCTGCGCTGGATGGGGTGATTTCGTAGGTAGTATGATGGTTGCTCTCATACCACACACATATAATCCCAGATTGCTGGCTCGATGTAACACTGCGATCAAGTTCCAGAACCGAACATGTCTTTTGAGATCGATGAAAAGAGCGTCGCGCAAGCCGACGTCTGGTCAGAAGCGCTCGCTCCAGACCCGCAATACGAGAAGGACTTCCGCGTCGTCGACAACAAGTTCGCCTTTTCGCCGGGCCAGCTGAACAAGCTATTCAACCCCAAGTCGCTAGCCGCATTCTATGCCCTCGGTGGATTGACCGGTTTAGAAGTCGGCTTGCAGACAGACCTGCAGCGCGGACTCTCAACAAGCGAGACTCTTCTGCGCAAGACCGTCTCCATCGACGAGGCGCGGCGCGCTGGATTGGAAGTTAGGGCTAACAGACCCAAACACGCCGCGCCCTCATCGCAATCCCAGGCCCCCCCTCAACAATTTCCAGGGACAGGGCCACATGCGCAGACCTTCGCAGACCGAACCCGCATCTTCGGCACAAACGCGCTCCCCCCGGCCCCAACAAAGCCCTTCACCCGCCTCCTCTGGGACGCCTACAACGACAAGATCATCATCCTGCTGACCGTCGCCGCCGTGGTCTCGCTCGCACTGGGGATCTACGAGGCCGCATCGGGCCAGTCGCAGGTCGACTGGATCGAGGGCGTGGCGGTGTGCGTGGCGATCGTGATCGTTGTCTCTGTGACGGCTGGAAACGATTGGCAGAAGCAGAGGGCGTTTGGGAAGTTGAATAAGCGTGTATGTACCCCCCTACTCTCCTTATCCTGTAGACAATGGGTGCAATGGCTAAAGGGAAGGAATGCGTGGTAGAAACTCGACCGCTCGGTCCGCGCCGTCCGCGATGGACAGACGAGCCTCGTGCACATCGCGCAGCTTACGGTCGGCGACGTCGTGCATCTTGAGCCAGGCGACTCGGTTCCGGCTGATGGCGTGCTTGTTACGAGCCATGATATCAAGTGTGATGAGTCGACGGCGACGGGGGAGTCGGACCAGGTTGAGAAGGTGGGTGGGTATGAAGCGTGCGACCGGTTACAGCGAGACGGGCCAGCAGAAGTAGAGGTGGACCCGTTTGTTATATCCGGGAGTAAAGTCCTCGAAGGACTAGGGACGTACCTTGTTACTAGTGTCGGCCCGCATTCGACGTACGGACGGATCATGGTGAGTCTAGGGACTGAGACGGATCCGACGCCGTTGCAGGTGAAGCTTGCGCGGTTGGCGAGCTGGATTGGGTGGTTTGGGCTGGGGTATGGTTACTTCACACCTTTATGCTGCCTAATACTGATACAGGAATAGATCAGCGTTGCTCCTCTTCTTCGTCCTCTTCTTCCGCTTCATCGCGCAGCTGTCTGGTATCTATGAGAACGACACACCAGCCGTCAAGGGCCAACACTTTATGGATATCCTGATTGTGGCGGTGACTGTTATCGTGGTTGCAATCCCGGGTAGGTTCTTACTGACCCCCTCACTCTCCAAAACGTGGTGTGGTAGTAGTTGCTGAGTCTGGTGTAGAGGGCCTCCCACTAGCCGTAACGCTCGCCCTCTCATTCGCAACAGCACGCATGCTCAAGGAGAACAACCTTGTGCGCCTCCTGCGCGCCTGCGAGACCATGGGCAACGCGACGGTCATCTGCTCCGATAAGACGGGAACCCTGACGCAGAACAAGATGTCTGTCGTTGTGGGGTTCTTCGGGGCCAGCGAGGGCTTTGGGAGACTCCCGTCTGATGAACGTGGTCCTGAGGAGTCTGTGCCGTCGACGACCATCTCTGATACGCTGGAGGTGTTTCCACGGGCATTTAAGGAGGTACTCGTGCACAGCCTGGCCCTGAACACGACGGCATTCGAAGAGAAGGATGATGGGCAAGGAAAAGGGAAAGTCTTCGTCGGCAATAAGACCGAGATCGCGCTGCTAGAACTGCTTGCCGGTCAGCGGCTGCTTGACATGGACCTCTCACGGATCCAGACTTCCAATCCCATCGAACATGTCTATCCCTTCGACTCGTCACGCAAAGCCATGGCCGTGGTGTACCGCGTCCCCGGGACAACAACGTACCGGCTCCTTGTCAAGGGTGCCCCGGAGCTCTTGCTAGGTGCCGCCACTCAAATCGTGCAACAGGGCCAAGGCTCGAATGCGGCGGGCGTAGTGACAGCCCCAATATCCGACCATGACCGCGAGCGTATTTCACGTACCATAGATTCCTACGCTCGGGCCTCGCTCCGAACAATAGGCATCGCGTATCGGGACTTCCCCGCGTGGCCTCCCGGGCCCAACATCACCTCGAAGACACTGCCTAGCTTCGGCGAGATCATCACGGACATAACCTGGCTCGGGGCCTTTGGGATCCACGACCCGTTGAGGCCCGAGGTGGCGGAGGCGATTCGGACGTGCCATGGAGCTGGGGTGCAGGTGAAGATGGTTACAGGTATGCATTCCACTCCTGTATATAAAGGTATGACATTTGGACACGGCAGGTAACACTAGATTCGCAGGCGACAACATCCACACAGCTCTCTCAATCGCCGAATCATGCGGGATTAAAACGGCAGACGGACTCGCGATGGAAGGACCCGAGTTACGAAAGCTGAGCGATGAGCAGCTCGACTCGGTTATCCCGAGATTACAGGTCCTCGCGCGGTCCTCGCCATCCGACAAGGAGATGCTCGTGCGGCATCTCAAGCGTCTGGGCGAGATCGTTGCCGTTACGGGCGACGGCACGAACGATGGACCTGCGCTCAAGGCCGCGGATGTTGGGTTCTCCATGGGACTGAGTGGGACGGAGGTCGCGAGGGAAGCCAGCTCGATTATTTTGCTAGATGATAACTTCCGCTCTATTGTTACGGCTATGGCGTGGGGGAGGGCGGTTAATGATGCGGTGGCTAAGTTCTTGCAGGTATGTTTCCTACCACTGCCTGCTGTGCTCGGCTTGGGCAGAAGAGGATACTGCAGATGCTGATGGGCAGGACAGTTCCAAATCACCGTCAACATCACCGCCGTAGTCCTCACCGTCGTCACAGCCATCTCCAACAGCCACAACGAGAGCGTCTTTCGCGCTGTGCAGCTGCTGTGGCTGAACTTGATCATGGATACGTTCGCTGCTCTAGCCTTGTATGCCACCCCTTTCTCCTACCACCCATCAACCCATGTAGACTAATACCGTGTGCAACAGGGCAACCGACCCTCCAACCCCCTCAATCCTAACCCGCCCTCCAACCCCGCGCCACGCCCCCCTCTTCACACCCACAATGTGGAAGATGATCCTCGGCCAATCAATCTACAAGCTCGCCCTGTGCTTCGCCCTCTACTACGCCGGACACAGCATGCTCGGTCTCTCCCCATCAAATCCAGACGAAACGCTGCAACTGCACACAATCATCTTCAACACGTTCGTGTGGATGCAGATCTTCAACGAGCTGAACTGCCGCCGTCTCGACAACAAGTTCAATATCTTTGCAGGCCTGCATCGGAACCCGTGGTTCTTTGTCATCAATGTGCTTATGGTCGGCGGGCAGATCCTGATTATCTTTGTGGGCGGCGCGGCGTTTGGGGTTACGCGGTTGAGTGGCAAGCAGTGGGGGGTTTGCTTGGGCTTTGCGGTTGTTTGTGTGCCTTGGGCGGCGGTGCTGAAGTTCGTTCCTGATCGGTATGTTGGGGTTTTGGTTGATGGGGTTGGGAGGGTGTTTGGGGTTATATGGAGGCCGTTGGGGAGGGGGATTGGCAGGATGGTGCGAGGCATGAGGGCGTGTGTACATGGGCGTCCATCTACATCTCGACTGTCGACGGGAAATGGCAAGGAGAGGGTGAGTGATGAGGAGGCACTTAGTGATCGGCCCATGGGAGAGGTGGGCAAGGCTTCGGCAGATGTTGACAGTCAACGGGTGCTGTGACGGCTCAGCTCGTCTCATGCAGTACCCTCAAAGCAATGCGTTGCAGTTGATGCGACGGTTTTCCTGTGCCTCTCATGATTTGTTCAGGCCCACTATAACTGACATGACGGCTCCGAGGATGCGTTGCTGGGCACAGGTGGATATACTCAAAACGTCTAACAACGAGCTGGAGGGCAAACCCCTGGATCCATCTTCAAGCCAAACAATGCCATTCCCGCGAACACCGTACGCCTTTCGCCTTTGGCAACCCACTCGAAGCACCACTCAAATACTCCGCGGAAATAGAGAACCCGACCTAAACATCCCCCCTAACCTCCCTCAAAAAATCCCTCTGCGCCCTCAGGCCATCCCCATCTCCACCCCCAACCCTCCTCCCATACCTCCGTGCCCTAAGCACCCCAAAAACACGCGTACTGACCACCTCCGCCGCCCCAATCACATAAACCGCCATAATCACAACCAGGGGTCCCAAAATCGCAAACACCGTAAACCCATACGACGCATTCTGGAACGCCTGATTCCCACTTAACGCCTCCGTCGCCAGACCAACCTGCATCGCCGTCAGGACAAGCGCGATGTAGATCGTCGCAGCACTGATAGGCGCCACATTCTCGCGGAAGAGCTCGGTCGTGGTCTTATACTGCCCCAGGTACCCGCGGAGGACGTCGCCGTAGCGAAGCGCATAGATCTTGTCTAGGCGTGATAGGCGGAGTGCGCCGAAGGTGTACCGCGGGTTTATAGTTGTGGAGGTGATGGCGCCGCGTTGGAGGCATTGCTGCGCTATACTTCGCCAGGATTCCCAGGTTAGATCTGGAGGGAGAAGGGCGTGGTCCTGCGCGATGCGGAAGTCGCTTTCGAAGCGGACGAGTGTGAGATACGAGAAGAGGAAGCCGAGGGCGTCTTTGTAGAGGGGTTTGTGTGGACAGAGTGGTTGTGCTTGTGTTCCTTGCGCTTGGCTTGGGCATGTCGCGTTGCAGAGGAGGTACGCGGTCCAGAATCGGCTGTCGAGGAGATACCGGGGAAAGGGCTTTAGGTGGATGTGTGTTCGGTCTGTCCAGACTAGATGCGTTGCGATGTTTTCGTCGAGGACGATCTTGTGCGAGAGGGAGATGATTGTGCTTAGGGGTTGCGGTGGGGAGAGAGTCTTTGCGAACCAGAGATACTCTTGTATTCGGGTCAGTCGCTCTACGGACAGGTCGAGCTGGATGAATGTTGTTATGCTATCGGCGGGTGACCAGAAGTTGACGGCTCCTGATGGGGGCATCAGGGCGTCTCCGTAGCAGGCCGGTAGGAGAGACGCCAGGTCATCGGAATGCGTTGTCCTGTCGAATGGTTCCTCGGTGAAGGGTAGAGTTAGGGAATCGCGCATGGTGTGCCGCAACCATTTATTTAACGCGGAAAGGAGGCGACTACCAACATTGTTGGTTGAATAGTCCATCCATACCCCTAGGGCTACGTCAGCATGAGGGGTATGATGCCGAGCATGCGAGGTTTCACGGGATCAACGCCTGCAGCTGGCAGCTTAATGCAATAGGTACATACAATCCGTAGTCCAACTGGGCATCTTCAAGCAGTTGAAGTGAAGATGTACCAGTGTCAAGCAAGTCAGGTTTTTTAAGGCGCGAAATAGCGGAACCCTGGAGCCTCCATTTAAAGACCAATCTTTTCATGGATGGCTCAGACAGGGGCAGAATGCCCATAAACTGTTCAAGAGGATATACGTCCATGCAGGAAAGCCATGATGTTTGGGAAAGATGCGAAAGGTCATGCATGTAGATTGCTGCTATACCCCAGGCGCGTCCAGTCCTCCCTATCCAACCTTGGAAGTACCAACAATCAACTCGATACCTACATCTTCGCCCCCTCCACCCTCCTCCCCGTCTCATCAAAACGCAACTGGCGTCCCGAAACCAGCGCCTCCTGCAACCACGCCCCAATCTGCACCGCCTTAACCGCATTCCCAAGCTTCATCGGCACCGGCATATCATCCAAACAAGCATCAACAAACTCATTCGTCTCCCTCACAAACGCCATCTCAAAGCGCCCCCAGTACGTCCCCGGAACCTCCCTCGTGATCCCACCGGCATGGTAAAAATTCACCAGATCAGACGCCGGGTTCAAGTTCACAGACAGTTTCCCCTCCGTCCCAATGATCTCGGTCACGTCCTCCTGCCCGTGCGCCATCATCCGCGAACAGTAGTAATACGCGATCTTCCCGCCGTGGAACTCCACGATTCCGACGGCGTTGTCGAAGTCGTTGTACTTCTTTAGATCGGGTGTAACCGCCCGAATTCCGTACGCGGATATACTCTTGGGCATGATGTCCGACCCGAAGAACCACAGCGTTAGGTCGATGTCGTGGACGGCCATGTCGACGAAGACGCCGCCGGACCAGGAGGCGTATTCGACGTAGAAGCCGGACGGGTCGTGCTTGTCGCAGGTTTGGGAGCGCAGGATTGCGGGCCGCCCGATGAGCCCGTTTTCGACCTTCTTGTAGGCAGATCGGTACGAGTCGTCGAAGCGGCGGGAGAACCCGCACATCACTTTGAGGTGTGGGCGTTTTCGGGCGGCGGTTACGACTTGGTTGCACTAGCATGGAAGTTGAGTTAGTCTTGGTCTGGTAGAGGATGGTGTGGTGTGGTAGGTGATGGACGTACGATGTCAACGCTGATACTCAACGGCTTCTCGCAAAGAACATGGAGGTCCTTCTCAATTGCCTGGATTGCCTCTTCGGCATGGACGGATGTAGCGGTCCCAATGACCACAGCTTTCAATCCTGGATGGTTGATCATATCCTCGTACTTGGTGTACAGAGTCACGCCGTACGGCTCGAGATGCTGCTTCGCCCACTGGATCTCCTCAGGGTCAGGCGAGAACGCAGCGACGAGCTCAGCGCGGGGTGCGCGGTTCAGGAAGTTCAATGCATGCCGTTTGCCCATGCGGCCGAGGCCAGCGGCACCGACTTGAAGTTTTTTTGGGGGCATCGTCGTTGTTTTCTTAGTAGGGTGAAGTTTGGAATGGATAGAGCTGAGTTGGATGGGACGAGAAAAGCCGGGATCAGGGGGGTGCTTTATAGCCTTTTGTCTTCATGAACGGACCTGGTCTAGGATACATGTTTGTAAGGGTTGATGCAGGGCGTCATATACAACGCGGAGGTTTTTTTCCAATTGAAACGAAAGGAACTACCTAATGTTTATGAGTACCGGAGGTTTATTGCCTTATATGATGCTTTTGGTGGTTTTGCCCGGTGGCCAGCTCGGAGCAAGTCCGGGGCTAACCCTAAGTCCCATTCAGGAGATTTTCCTCCGGCCAGACCACCGCAGTTGCCACTGTATTTCCCCGCATGCTGCGCTGGATAACTCCAAGACACGGGAGAAGGATGGCGGGATGCCATGAATAGCAATATTGCCCGTGCATGGGAAGAAGGACCACGCTGTGCTGGCACGCGACCGTCGGTAACCAGCGGAAGGCCGGGCAATTGATCGACAACTACCCGGGTACTGCACCCCTTCACCGAGGTGCTTAGGCTCCGATGATTGCGCAGGTATCAACAAAGACCAGGGTGCTCAAGAAATCTGGCTGGAACATTTCCAGCATGTTTTTATCCAACATGTTCGGCTTGGCCCGTGGATAGGTATGATATATATTTCCACCCCAGCATTGACACGACGATATACATCTCAAGATAATTCGGAAGCAATCGATTGTATAATAAACCACACCTAAGACCAATGAACCGGATTCATAGCGAAAGTTCACTGCGTGCATAGTCAAAGAATCTTGACATGTCTGCCTCTACGATCCTACCAATGGGGAGGATCTTCACATTGTGCTCGACGGTATAGATCTTGCCAAAGTTCAGCCTTGACATCGAGTTCAGGTGCTCCTCCGGATATTCCGCTTCAATTTCCAGCGGGGCTTTATGCATCGTCGGCTCTCGGTCGCCTGTGAAAGGTCTGGTGTTGCGCAAATAGACGATAGCGTGTTTTGATGGGTCCACACCTGGTTTCGCTACACCGCGGCCACCATACGTACTGATTGCACTGAGTTTGAATTAGTCCCGAGCTTGGCATGGTAGGCGATCAGACCAGGCGCAACTTACAAACACCACGAAGCTTGGTCAAAATGCTTAACCACGACCAGGCGCCGGATCGTGCTGTAGATCGGCTGCCCGAACCGACCTCGGAATTGGGAGCCTTGCTCTAGGGTCTGGGAAGGATGTGAAGGACCACGGGCATCGTTCTCATGCCAAAGAATGGAAAACACCTGGTATATGTTCAGCATAAGTATCTCCCAACTCTATCGGTTATATGGATCCTTATGCTTACCGCTCCGGGAACAAAATACTCTGGTGCTTGAACGATATATCCTATGCCTGTTAGTCGTCATTGGCCAACAAGTGATGGGCTGAAGACTCACGACTGTCGAGTACAACCTCGTGTTCAAGTTGTCCTGGGTACTAACCGTCAAAAGGGTTAGTCTGTGGGTGTCACTCATAAAACCCGTTGACTCACGGCCAGCTCCGGCTCGGGGATCACTGCATTGGTTCTCGCCTGGGGTCTCTGCGATGTGATGAGCATTACTTCGGTATGCAGATGTAGTATGGTCCGACCTGTGGGGAATATGATCCCTTATAAACCTGAAATGGTCAGCGGGCTTGCGGGCGGAGAAGAGCATCTACTTCGGCATGCAGTAAGAATACTCACCGAGCTACCGAACTGAACATGAATGACCATGTTGTCGTACAGACTCTCGAAGTCCAGTGGGATGAGGTTGCCATTTGGATCTGCGAAACGAAACGTCGTTGATTGATCAAACTTGTAAGTCATTCTTAGATGAGATGTGCATATACTTTCAGCATGATCCTGTGGGTGTAGTTGGACATGCGTGGCGTCGAGAATCCATAATTGGAGATATACTGTCTTCGTAGCCTGTGTCCACTCGTCATCCGTATCAGACCCTTCCGATCGAGCACTCGACTGTATGGGATCCGAATCAAGACTGTCAGTCTGACCGATAGCCTCCTTGCTGCCCTTGTCAGCGTCTGCCCATCGCGGGAAAGCAAAACAGGCAATACGTCGCAGATGAGACGCTACATGATGAGTTGTTTGATTTTGTTGAGCGCAGATTAGGCAGGTTCGCAAGTCAGCGACTCGCACTCCATGGCTGGAAGACTCATGCGTCACCCACTCTGTAAACGTATCGTATTGCTGGTCGGGGTCCTTGCAATGCCGAAATGTACAGACGTATGGCCGCAAATCACGCATGATGTGTCTCCTAGTCTTATGCTAGCAAGAGTCGGTCATCAAGGCCAGCAGGGTTATCACCTCCATGCCTGTGGCTTTGCAGTAACCTCGGCACACATAGTATAGCAGTAATGGCACTCGAATTCTGCGCTGTCGCCCGCCAATTTGGGAGGGGGTGGAGCTTGTAATGAATCATCCATGTTTTTGGCCGTCGCCAAAAAGCTATCCAGCGATCCTGCAGACTCAATGTCCAAGCTTGCGCCTGGGTCCAGATTTGTTGCAGCGGAAGGATCCGAGGGGCGAGCACTCGCGTGGGCAGTTGTAGCCTGGACTCCCCCATGGTGAGCGATAGCGGTTTGATACTGATAATCATATTTGGCTTTCCGCTTTTCCCAGTATTTGAATTGTTGTCTCCGGTGCACATTGGCTCTTGCCAGCCGCGGACAAGGAAATGTCCTTCCAGGTCTTGTCCCCTCCAAACACGGAATAATTCGACCAGATGTCGAATGTCGCGTTCTTTATAGGCCTGGATCAGGTCGACTCCGGTCTCCCTGTCAACCTCAGTGTAGGCTAGAGCCCTCGATAAGCCGGTTCGCATCTTTGGATTTCGGACTCGGAACGAAAGAGCGTAAAGCCTATCGACTGTGATGGAAATATTGGTGAAGTACTCGGTAGCCAACGATTGATCCTGGTAGGATGAAAGGTCGTCTTCTGTCTCGTCATCGCTCAAATCTGTACTGCCCGGAGCATCGGGCATATCGTCGTTGGCAGGGCTTGATGGGTTGACCTGCTTGGTAACTGTTCCATGGCAAGTTCAGCATCTGAATCTGACCAAAGGAAGAGAGCCGTACATTCTGAAAGTCCGTGCTGAAGATCCGAGAGTAAGGTGAAAGCGTATTCGAACAGAGGAGGAGAGTCGCGAAACCGGTAATCGAGCGAACTATGCCCGGTATGGAAAACACCCAGATTTGATGCCCAGAGCTCAAACCTTTATACAGAACGAAATGAGTGGTCTCGAGATTGTCGGCGTCGTCCTAGGCGCGATCCCCATCACCATAGCGGCCATCGAATTGTACCAAGAGAGGCAAACTCGCATCGCGTTCCGAAACAAGAAACCATATGTCCTTCGACTGATTCAGGCCCTCAAAGAGCAGCACTACCTCCTCAAGAGTGATATCCAGTTGACACTGAATGGCGCTGGCGTGGAGTATAATAATCCCGCCCACCAACCCGTTGGAGCGATGCTTCGGGACCCAGCCGTTGCGAATGCAGTGAAGGACTATCTGGGAGACGACTCGGAGATCTATTTTGGGGCTGTGAACGCCTGCTACATAGCTTTGGCTAGGCTTGTCGGACGCATCCAAGGGCTAGGTGCGGTGACAGTGAGTCGGTTCGATGTGGAAGACATTTGGGTCGCGAAGACTGGCTAACTTATGGAACCTGGCAACGCAGGACCTTGAGAACCTGGTCAGAACCTATACAGGCAGCGCGCTGCCAGAGAAGATCCGATTCTCCGTCAAGCGTGACGAACTGGAGAAGCAGATATGGTACCTCAACATGGCGACCACATCTCTGAGGAGGATTAGTGACAACATGGTTGCGCTGAAGATACAAGTAGCCATAGATTCATCCTCACGGCAGATTGCCAGATTTGCCTCGGCGTTGGGGACTGTCAGAGATTACGCAAAGCGCTTGTACTCAGCGGTCTCGGCGGCATACCCAGGCCCGTGCCACGCCCATCACGAAGCGAGGTTATTCCTTTGCAGTCGTTCCAACCTCATGGACAGAACAACGAATGCCACGCGGCGGAGGAATTTCTCGTTCACCGTGCTGCTTTCGCCCGCCATGTCGACTTCAACCCTGACGGCTTCATACAGGACAGATATCAAGGTCGCGGAGGTCGGCGAGGCTCCCACTGGACAGTATGATAATTATTCTGCCGTCTTGCATTCCAACTAATGTGTCCGTCAAGCATAGGCAATACAGGTCGGACAAGGGTTGTGATCCGGCCACCCACTCCGCCTGCCACGGCCGCGCCCCTGCGATCGGCGATGGATGACTTATGCAAGGGCATACAACGAGCCCGAGACGGAGGAATAATGCTGGACTTGCAGGTATCGGAAACCAACTGTTTGACGTACTGTTATCAGCAAGGCCCAAGTGCAAGCTGTTCAGTTCACCTGGAGGTAGAATCGACGGGTTTCGTAACGCTGGAGCGGCTTCTCGCAAAGACAGAGCGGCAATGGTTGCTTAACCATAGAATAGCCCTGTCGCTTACAATTGCCTCCTCGCTGCTTCAATTGATATCGACGCCCTGGCTTCAATTGCCACTGACAAGCCGCACCGTGCGGTTTTCCAAAAGTGGCGTCGATGTTGCGGCGCTCGATTTCTCGATGATCCCGGAGCCCTTTGTGGAAGAACTGTTCCACAAGCCAACAACAGGGACAGTCGGTAATGCACGGGTGGGTGTCAGGGACTGTATGCTTGAGCTCGGGATTCTTCTGCTCGGGATCGCGCACTGGAGGACGATGGACGACTATGCGAACGAGCGGACGAACGATGGTCAGCCTGCTGCCAGGAGCCGGTATGGTCTGGCCAATGGATGGACGGACGCGAGCACCTACTTGATCCTACCATTTCAACGAGATGTGATTAGAAGATGTGTCGACTGCACATTCGCAACCTCCGGTCCGAGCCTGGAGTGGGATGACGTCGTGCTTCGCAAGTCGATTGCGGAATACGTGCTCAAGCCTTTGCAGGAGAACTGCCCCCAACAGCTGCGGTAGCTAACAGTCTAGAGTAACGAGAATCTGGCGGTAGAGGGCGACACTGGACTGGGCGGGGGCAATGATGTGGTGATGAAGATCAGTCGGGTGGTTTGAAGATGAAGATGGAAGATTCCAGCGGAGGGACCCTCTCGTCACTCGCACAGAACCAGCACCTGTAACCTACTAAAAGGAATAAATAGTTACTGTATGTAAAAGTCTCTTGTATTGCTTGGTATACTAAGCTAGATATTTTAGGAATAAATAAAGAGTTTTACGGGTGGCTATTTAAGCTAAAAAAACCTTTTTTTACTAAAGCCCTAAGGCCTCCAGTGGCCTTAAGCACCTACTTTTAGTACTTTTTTTTATTTATACTAAAAACTTTTTTAAATTAGTAAGCCATAGGCTGCTAGCATAAAAAAAGTTTTTTTTAAATTAATAAACTATAGGCTATTAGTAATAAAAAAAGGCTTTTTTAAAGGCGTAATTTATAGGCAAGTGTTAAAAAGCTAGTAATTAAAATAATAAAAAATAATAAGTATTAATAAAAGCTTTAGGTGTTAATAGGCCAGAGTAATTCCTAAAAATATAAATAAAATAGTAATAAAATATATAAAATAATAAATTTTTAGTAAGAGCTTTGGGCACTAGGTGGCCCAAGGTGGATTAAATAATAAGTAATAAATTAAGTAGTTTATAAATCTTATAGCCTTTTTATAACTAAAAAAGTAATAATAAATATTAAAGCATGTAAAAGCTATTTTAGGGGTAAAAATAAGGCCTAGTTTATATAAAAGGTATTATTAGCTAGTAATAATAAATTAATATATAATAAGTTATTTAGGGATTTTAATCCCTAGTATAGGGCAAGTTACCTAGTATAATAATATATTAAAGCCATTAAAGTATATATTTTAGGTATTAATTTTTTTTAAAAAACTTAATACTAGTATAATACTATATATTTTAAATAATATAGCGTTGGCTTAATATTTATAGTAAGTATAATTAAGCCCTAAATATAAAGTCCTTAGGGCGTAGGCCAGCGGGATTATAATAAAAATTATAATTTTAAATAATAACATTTTTTTAAACCTTTTTTTATTAAGAAATAAGATTACTATAATAGCCTATATATACCAGGAGCTAATAATATTATTTAATTATCTAATTTAAAAAAGCCCTAGGGTTTTAAAGGCTGCTAACTATATAATATAACCATGCTTTAAAGCCTAAAAAAATACTAAATAAAAATTTTAATTAGGGTAATTAATAAGCTAGCCACGCTAGTAAGCCTATATTTTAATATTTAAAAATAAGATTTCCCACGGGTAAATATAAAAAGCACTAAAAATTTTATTAAATTAAACTAAAAATATATTAACTTTTAGTACTATAATTAAGGTATTATATAAAATTAGAATAAGATTTTAAAATAATATAATATTATACTATTTTTATTATAAGGTTAATCCCTGGAAACAGGGATAAAGTAGTAATAAGTTAAAAATAAAAATAATTAAATATAGTTTTATAATACGCAAGTTATTATAAGTTTAGTATAAAAAAGGCTAATTTTAGTATAAAAATTACTAAAAAACCTACTTATATAAGCTTAAAAAAAATCCCTAGTAAAATTTTAAAGTATTTAAATACTTTAGGCCCTAGTAGCTTAGTAAGGCTATTTATTATTTATTTTTTAATAAAAATAAACTAAATATTAACCATGTTTTTAGCCTTTTTTTCCTAAATAAAATAGTATTAAATATTAATATACTTATTTTAGGTATAAAATTAGGGGTTACTAGCCAGTGCTATAATACCTTTATTATTTTTATAAATTATAATAATTATAAAATTTATTTTTTAAGTATTTATAAGCTTTTTTAGTAAGTAGCAAAGTTAAATAACCTTTTTAATAACTTATATTTTTTTTATATACTTAGCTGAAAATAAGGCTATAATAAGCTAATACTTAAAAAACTAATTAATAATTATAAAGCCTATATAAAATATATATTTAAAGGTAAAATAGTATATTTTTAAATCCCTATTTTAATTAATATTAGTATAGCTAGTTAGCGGTTAAAAATCCCTAAAAAATATTAGTTTATAATTTATAAAGCCCTAAAGGTAGTAAAACACATGCTTAATAATTATTATATACTTTTTTATAAGTTTAATAAAAAAATAGCTTAAAATAAATATAAGATAGGTAATATTAGCCTAAGTACCTAGTATAAGGTATATTAGGAATTTAATAGCACTTTAGTATTACTTTAAAATATTTATTAAAGCTATATATTTTTTAAAAGCAGGCTTTAGCTTTAAGCAAGGATTTATTAATATATTATAAACCTTAAAGTTATTTATACTAAATTAATAAAAAATCTTATTTATATAATTAAGCTAAAAAAGTTAAAGTATTTAATTAGCCTAATTTTAATAAACCTTTATATTAAGATAATAATAGCAAGAGCTAAAATTAAATATTTTAAAGTATTTATTTAGGGTATTTTTAATTTTTTAAATTTAAGTTTTATCCCTGCTAACTAGTAAAAAATTATTTATATATATAATAATAAAAATTTTATTATTAATAAAAACTTTTAGGTTTAAATAAATAAAATAAAAGCCTAATATAGCTAAAAAATTTATAAATAGTTAGTACTAAATTCGCGGTGCTTACTTTAAGCTATAAAAAGCTTTTTAAAGCTAGTAAACGCGCTTAAAGCTATTAATAAAAAAATAAGGTTACTTTATAAAAATTATAATATTAATATTCCTATATAAAAACACTATTTTTATATTTATTTATTTAATTTTAAGGTTTAATATAGTAATAATAATAAAAAGGAGCTTATAGCTTATTAGCTTTACTATTTTAGTAAAGGTTTTATAATAATTAAGCTTATAAACTTGCTTAAAGCTATAAACTACCTAATAAGCTTTATAATAAAAAATCTAGCCTTTTAATTTTTTTTTAATTTTTAAAACCTATTTATTAAAAAGCAAGTATTTTTTAAAAGGCAAGTTAATAAAATTCTAGGTCTTGTTTTTTATTAAAAAGTTATATTTTTTTTATATACTTTTAAATTATTTATTTTATTTACCTTTAGCCTTAGCTTGCTAAACTATTAATTTATTTTTTTTAAATATTTACTTATAAAGTATTATAGTTAATATTAAAATATTATTTAAACTAGGCTTATTAAATAATATTTTAAAGTTATTTAAATAAGGCTTGCTAGCTAGGGTAATCTTATTTTATATAACTTTAGTAATATTTTAAAAATAAAATAAATAAGCTAGCTTATTTAAGATTTAAAAAGCTTTTTTAAAATTAATAATAACTTAAACACGTGTATGGTATACCAGGCCAGTATTATAATTAAAATTTAGGTTTTTTAAAAATATATTAACTTTAGTAGCTAAATTAATAGCTTTTATTACTAAATTTTTAAGGTTTATATACCTAGAGAAGTCCCCGGGAGCTAAGTTTTTTAAGGTTTTATTTTTAAGGTTTTTTTTAATATTTAGGTTAGTGTTAGCTAGTAAGCTTTTAAAAATAAAAATTTTTAAAAAGGCGGGAGCTTTAAAAATAAAGATTTTTAAAGATACTAAAGCTTTTAGTGCCTTAAAAATAAAGATTTTTAAAGGGTTTAAAGCTTTAGGTAGTACCTTAAAAATAAAGGTTTTTAAAAAAAATAAAGTATTAAAAATAAAAATTTTTAAAAAAAATAAAGGCTTGGGGATAAAAATTCCTAAAGATATTAAAATAATTACTTTTAGTAAAAAATCTAGCCTAATATAGTAATTTTTAATAATATTAATATTATATATTAAAACCACGTGGCTATTATCCAGGAAAACCTGGTATAGCTTATTTATTTTTTTATTAAAGTTAACTAGTTTTTTAGTTTTTATTTTATTATTTTTATAAAGCTTTTTTTACTTTTTTAATAGGTTTAAAATATAGACCTTAAATTAAAAAATATAAATATAAAATATATTTAGCTAGTAACTATACTAGGCTTTAAATAGTGTAATATTATTTAGTATAAAATATAAAGTTTAATTATATAAATAACTAGTATTTTTATAAAACTTAGACTATATATTAGCTAGGGCTTTAATATTATGTAATATAAATTATATAAGGCCTAGTAACTTACTAATAAGTGCTTTAACATGGTTATTTTATTTATACTAGTTTATATTAAAAATTTTTATAATAGCTTTAAAGCTATAAATAAAGTATTATAGGTTATAAATATTTTCCCCCTTTTAATTATAGTGTACATGGTGTAATAAAAGCTTAGGTATATTATACTAGTAAATAATAAAAAAAGCCTAGGTAATAAATTTATTTTTGCTAGCTAGTATTATAACCTAATAATAATAAAATTTATTATTTATAATAAAGTTAATATATATTTTTTTATTAAATAAGAGTAAATATAAGCCAGAGATATTTATATAAAGTAGTTTAAATAATTAATTAATAAGTATTATAATATTTTTATAAGGCTTGGCCTGTTAGCATGTAGTAATATAAAATTTATAAATATAGCTTTTAAGTATATATATATTATAAACCACCTTTTTTATTTTATTAAGCTAATTTTTAAAAATATAACCTATTTATTAGTACTAAAGCTAGGAAAATTTATTTTAAAAAATAAAGGCTATTAGTATTAAAATAGCTAGTATTACTAAACCTTAGTAAAGGTTAAAAAAAAATATTTTATAAACTTTAATAGCCATGTATTAAGCTAATTTATAATTATATAAGGTAATAATATTAATATTTTATAGCTTTTTAGCTTTTATATTTTACTAGCTAAAGCTAATTAAGTAATACTTATTTAATAACTAAAAAATAAATATTAGCATAAAAAACATGTTTAAGTAATATAAAATATTATTTAAAGCTAAAATTTTAAGCTAGCTATTAACATAATAAAGGATTTTAATAATATTAATACCTTAAGTATTAAAAACTTTAGGACTAATACCTTTAATACTAAGGCTAATATAGGGCTTAAGGTTTTAAAATAAAAAGTAATTATAAATAATATATTATATATAGCTATTATCTAGGGTAATTTATTAAATAAAACTATTTTAAATAATTTCCTACTTAAAATTTAAATTAATTTAAATTATAAGTACTAGCTTAAGCATAGGCTTTATATTTTTCCTAAATTTAAAGTTTTTTTAAAGGTATTTAGCGCCCTTGCTACCCTAAAAGTTTTTTTAAGTAATTTTAAGTTTAAAATAAAGTTAATAACAGGTTTTTTAATTATAAAAAAGCATGTTATAATAAAAGTAATAGCATATAGTAATATTTATAATACCCTTATTTTTATATATTTAAATAATATTAAGATAGTTTTTATAATACTTAGTATTAAGCTTTATAAATACCTTATTAAAAGAAAAGTACTAGGGTACTAGTACCCTGGTTTTAATTTAATTTAGTAAACTTAATAATAATTATAAAATTATTTAAAAAAATAATTAACATGGTGGTGTCCCCCGGGAGGTATTTAATAATATAGTTATTAAAATATATAGCCTTAAAATAGTTAAATTAGTTACCTAGGGCTTAATAAAAAATAGTAATAATAAATTTAGTTAAAAATATAATATTAATATAGGTAAATTTTTACTAGATTTTTTTAAGTTTTTTACTAAAATTAGGGATACTTTTATTATAAAATAAGAATATTAAATTAACCTAAGCCTTAAAAATTATAATATTAATATTAAGTTTAAAATAGCTTTTAATTTTATTAAGTAGCTTATAAACTATTTATTTATTAATAAAAAGGTTTTATAAATTAAAACTTAAATAACTAAAAATTAAAGCTATTACATGGTTTTAGTTTTATTACTAAATCTTAGTCTTATTATGGTTTACCGGGGGTGTAGGCTTAGTAATAGCCTTAATAATAAGCTAAGCGGGAGGCTACACGGGAGGTATAGTAATAATTAAAATTTTATTATTAATATTTATATTTTTAGCTTGGCTTATAATAAATTATTAGCTAGGGGTCTTAATATTTTTGCTTGCTAAAGCTAGTATAATAAAAAAGGGACTAATAAGGGTTTTTATAAAATATTTTTAATTTAGTTACTTTAAAAGGTGGTTATAGCTAGCCTTTTAAAGCTTTAAAAATACTTACTAGTTTTATTTAACTTATTAATTTTTTAATATTAAAACTAGGATATTTTTTGCTTTAATTAAGGTTATTTTTTTTATTTTAGCTTGGTGTAAAAAAACTAGATATAAAAAAATTAAATATAAAAAAACTAAATAATAAAAGAATTAAAATAATTTAAAAGCTAGAAATTAAAGCGCTTAAAAATTAAAAACCTAAAATAATTAAAAATAATAAGCCCTAAAAAGTTACTATAATAAAATTAAGGTTAAATAGGCTAAAGCCTATGCTAGAATAGTTATAAAAAAAAAGCTAGTAACTAGGGATAGCTAGTTAAATATTTAAAAATTAGTTTAAATTTTTAAAAAGTAATTAAAGTTAAAGTTTAAATTAAGGAACCTAAAGGTGTTATACTATTTTTAAAGGTTTTAAAACTTTTTAACTACTAAAAAAAACTTATTTTTATTAAAAAATTAAATATATATAGCCCTAGAAAGCGGATATTTATAAAGTTAAAAGTTAATTAAAAAAGTAAAAATAAAAAAAAAAAAAAAATTTAAGGTAAAATAAAATAAAACTATAATATTTATATTTTTATAATAAGGCCTTTACCCTAAGTATAAGGCTTTTTAATTATTATAGTAACTAGTAAAGTTATAAAAAATATAAAGTTAAATAAATAAAATAAAAAAATATTATATATTTAATTAATATAGGTTAACTTAAAAAAAAAAAAACTTTTAATTAAGTATATAAGTTAAGCAAACCCGGGCTTATAACTTATTAAAAAAAATAAATAATTATTATATATAAAAGTCTTTTATATTACTTGGTATACTAAGCTAAATATTTTAAAAATAAATAAAGAGTTTTACGGGTGGTTATTTAGGCTAGAAGAACCTTCCTCCACCGGAGCCCTAAGGCCTCCAGTGGCCTCAGGCACCCACTTCCAGCACAACCGAGTGCACCTGCCTGAGTATGGGAAATGGTCGCTCCTTCCTCAAGTACATACCCGTATCTACATGCGACCTTCCATAACACAAGTGGAATCGAAGTTGTAGCATAGCTAATTGATGATTTTTGAAAAACGTAGAGTGAACAACAACCATTGAAGAACCAATCCGAAGAATATAGATAGGTACCTACAATGCCGAGACCCTTACAAGCTCAAAGCATGCAAGCTCACTTCGCAGCTAGGTGTTCAGATATACACATGGTATGTGGCGAAAACAAGGAGAGGCAGGAGGGGGAGTATAGTTGCATGAAACGGTGATGACACTTAGGGTGCCAACCCATAGAGTATACCCACAACCTCATGGCGTCAAAAACAACTCAATTCGCCTCCAAAGCCCTCAACTTCTCCTGCAACGCCCTAAAGTTCCTCTGCATGGCATTCCTATTAAACTCCTCCCCGGTAACAACAGGATACTTCTTGCCAGGCCCCTGGATAACCGCATCCTTACACGGCTGGTTAAAGAACGCAATACTATGCCGGTCCCCAAAATAGTCCCCTTCACTTTCCGGCGCCTTGACGCGGTGGAAAGTCGACTTGAACCGATCATCCGACCAGCTCATCAGCAAATCGCCAATATTGCACACGATCTCGCCGCCAACAGGCTCGACCTTCGTCCACTCGTCGCCGATCCCGAATTCGGTCACGACCTCGCGCCCCGGACAGATTTCTAACCCCGACTGCCCCTCCTTCTGGAAGAGGAGGGTCAAAAAGTCCCAGTCTGCGTGGGCGCCCGCGCGGTGGTACGTTTTGCCCTCTGCTGCAGATTGGGCAGGCGGCGGGAGCGCAAAGTAGTGCAGGAGTCGACATGTCGTCTGGCAATTCGCGCGCGAGATATCATGCGCCTTGACGAAGAAGGCATCGGGGAACCCTAACCCGCGCGCGAAACAGCGCATCAGCAGCTCCGAGACGCGCTGCACCGCGTGCATGAAGTCCAGACACTTCTCTCTGAACCCGTTGATATGCTTATCGTCCAGCCAGATCCCATCCATGTTCTCGCCGAACTGCAGCTGGTACGACTCCTTTGTGTCGGGCTGGCCTGTGGACGGGCGGACCTGGGAGTTCTTTTCCCAGCCGACATTGTTGGGGTTCCAGGGGACGGTGGCTTTTATTTCGTCTGGGAGGGAGAAGAAGGATTGTGATAGGGCGAACATGGAGTCGATGTCGGCGGTCGATATGCCATGGTCGGTTATTGTGAAGAAGCCGACGTTTTCGGAGGCGTCGATGAGTTCGGAGGTTATTTCGTCGATGCGCTGCTCGAAGTCGCGGAGGGAGATTTTTGGGATTGGACGGTCTGTATACCGGGTTGGAGCCATCTTGACTGTGTTTATCTGTAGTATTGGGATTTGTTGGTTTATAAAGGCTTATCGGTGCGTGGAGGAGAGTTGGAGACGCAGCCCCGCTCGGCCGAGCTGATAAAGCCTGCTGCCCCCTCTTTGCTTCCTAACCTGTTACACGACATATCAATCAATCAATCAATCATAGGTATCTCGGCCGACCTCGTCATGACCGCTGTCCGCAAACGCCTGGCGTGTGTCGAGTGCACCCGCCGTAAGATCCGCTGCGACAAGGTCGTGCCCTGTCGGAATTGCACGAGACGGTATACGTCCTTCTCATTGAGCTGAGTGCAAGAACTGACAAGAACAGGGGGACACCATGTACCCGGAGCAAAGAGAGCAAGAGCGACTCGCTGGTCGAGAGATTACAGGCCCGAGTGCAGCAGCTTGAAGCGGCCGTACTGGAGCTATCGCAACCACACTCACAGCCCCGAAAACCGTCCATTACCCCCGCCCCAGACGATACAGGTGAGCGAGACACAGAACCAGACGCGGAGATCGGCGACGCAGCAACGATCCTCGAATTCCTGGCCTGGGGCCGTCGCAAGAACCCGGATTACGGCGATAGCATGAACGTCCACTCGCCTGGCGATGTGACGGCCGAGCCTGATGGTCAGGGCATGGGACGCCAAACCCTAAGTCCAGGGCCAGACAGGGCCTCGGCCGAGGCGTATCTCCAGCTGTTGCTCCCTCGACGAGCACTCACTGAACGTCTCGTTGCTTTTCATTATCATTCCGTGCTTTGGTACCACGGGTCGTACGACGGAAATGATTTTCAAGACGAGCTGGACGCCTTCTATCGCATCGCCCACGGTAACGTCGGTCACCACGTCGACCTCCAATGGCTGGCTCTCCTTTTTGCAGTGCTCTGTGGTGCTCTATCTTGCGCGCCTCGCCGGACCGCAGAGAGCTGGGGTATTCGAGCATGGGAACAGACATCTCTGGCACAACGCTGGTTCAAGGCCGTCTCGACATGTCTACATCACGCAGACTTCACAGCATGTCACTCACTTTACGCCATACAGGCAGTCGGGACCCTCACAATGTCGGCGCATTTACTCGGCTTCTCCAACAGCCTCTCTGTTTTAATTGCCTCCGCCGCTAGAATCGGACAGTGTCTTGGTATGCAGCATCGAGAACTTGGCGGTGCGTGGCGCCAGCTCTGCATCCAGGATTGGTTCTCAATCCCCTTCTTTGAGAGCTATCTAATCCCGCGGCCAAAGAGAATCAACCCAGATGATGAAGGGACGGGAGAAGATACGCCAACGCACGCCGCATACAGCACCTTCTTCTACAAAGTCGCTGCGGTGATGGCCTCGCTGCACAACAGCACAACGAGCACACAGACCCTCTACACGCGGTACGAGCAGGTCCTCGAGCACGATCGCCAACTGCGCGTCCTCGCGACAACAGGTCTACCTGCCTTCCTGCAAAATGTCCCCATCGAGCCGGCGTGGCCAACATACGTTCCCTGGGCGCGAAGATGTCTAGCCATAAGCCTCTCTCACAAAGTCATCATGATCCATCGGAAATTCCTCGCGTTGAGTTTCCGCGATCCAATATTTCTACGAACCAGACGGACGTGCGTTGCGGCTGCAAGAACGATCATCAAGGAGCAGAAGGAGGCTAGGGCAGACGCAGACGCAGACGCAGGTGTGCCTGTGCTGTGGATTATGCAGGCTTTTGGGGTTACGGCTGGTGTATGTCATCATGCTCACCCACAACAACTTCACTACGCGATTCAATTCGTCACCGACGATAGCAATGCTAATATGGATCATTCAATGCGCAGATAATCCTCTGTCTCGACCTCTTCCACCGACCCCGGAGTGCAGATGCAGACAGCGAAGCAACATACCACCGCCAACTCATCAACGACGCGCTCAAAATGCTAGCCGACGGGCCGGCGAATATGATTGCGAAGCGGGGGGTGCATCTGCTCGAGGCGCTTCTTGCGAGGGAGCCCAGGGCGTCGAATGAGCTTGATTTGGGTGCTATTGTGAAGGGGGTTTGCGAGCAGACTTCTCCCTGTGCGGCTACGTCAGTATCCCCTTCATTGGTCAGGAATAGGGAAAGGCTCAGAGAAGACGGGGATAGTATGACTTGGCCTCCAGCCATTGGGTCCTCGCCGGGCTATGGGAATGGACTGCGTCGTGAGTTGCATGTCGGGACAGGATATACGGAGGAGAAGGAGACGCTGGAGGGGATACTGTCGCTTGCGGCGAGCTATATCTAGGTTAGGTACCTTGTTTGAGGACAATAGCGCAAATCAATGCACTAGTTAGGTATAAGCGGACTGGGCACTTGCAGTACAGTCAAGAAGGTTGAGCTCTACTATCGAATCCAACCTATAGAGCTCGATGGTGCTTGCCGCTACATGCACGAAGCCCCTCCATGCCATGTCACCACCACAGCGTAAACCTGCGTCAGACCGATCCATACACCAACCAGCCCAAAAGACACGGCATTGCAAAATCACCCCCTATAATCAACCTCAACAACCAACCTCACCGGGCCAGCCCCAACAGCGCCCCCAATCCCATCCACACTCGCCTCTGCAGCCGTATACGCATTCACCACATCCGCCGCATTTTCCGTGATATACGAGCAGTCCTCGCCCGCCGCCGTACAAATCCTCATCCCCTGCACATCCAAATCCGCATTCTGCGCCTGGATCGCGCTGACATCCCACCCGCTCCAGCCGTCATTATCCTCGTCGCCGAAGTCGAACTCACCCCACGTGCACGCGTACCCGCCGTAGCTGTCCGTTGGCAAGGAATCACCCGCCGCCGCGCCCCATCCGCCCTGGCTGTTCTCGTCGATCGCGACGTACCGCGTTTCACCGGGGGCAAGCGTGAAGTTCAATGCGGAGTGCCCGTACCACCCGTCCATGCCGCCGTCGGGGCCGATTTTGTTCCAGAAGGAGATGAACCAGGAGGAGGAGGAGGAGGTGTTGGCGGGGAGCGTGAATTGCAGGACGTATTTGTAGGATGAGGCCGATGATGAGGACACTTCGATGATGTTGCTGCCCCAGGGGGACCCGACGTTTCCGGTGTACGTGATGCCGCTGCTGCTGCTGGAGTTTGTGCGCGTGCCGAAGCCGGTTGTTGAGAAGGTGCCTGAGGAGGGGGTTGAGGACCAGTCGCTTGAGCTGGTGCTGGTGCTGGTGCTGGAGGCAGTGGTGGACGTTGTTATGGTGGCGGTCGTGGTTGTGCTGATGGTGGTCGTGGTCGTGACGGAGGCAGAGTCAACAGGGGAGTCTCCGATAGAAACAGCGACAGTACCTTCCACGAGGGCATCGCTGTCACTGGTAGAGGCACTCGAAGTCGAGGTTGAGATTGAGGTTTCGGCAGAGACATCGACGTCGGCAATAGTGGCAGTGGCAGCCGCGTCAAGGGTGACAGTCGTGTACACGGTAACGACATCCCACTGCACAACAGTCTTGGTATTCACCCCGCTGTCCTTCTTCTGATGGCGATGGACGTCCTTGTGCCCGTGCCCGTGCAAGCCATGGGCTCTGGCCGACGCCAAACCAGCGGCGAGGGCGGTTAGAATGAGTGACTCCCACTTCATGGTCAGTGGGTGGATTAGAGCCGGCTATAAAGGAATGACTAAGGACGACTGTGTCTAGGCACGAGGTATCAAGAAATTAGTGGATAAGGTCGAAAGTGCAATGAATTACCGGTGGACATGAAAGGACGGGGGCGCCCTAATATAGCCTGATGGCTAGGGGCGCAGCGCTAACGACTACAAGTCGAAGGTACATCTACGAAGTGGTCGATGTGGAGACGCTTTGAAAATGTTGCTAGAACTACGTCTGGGATTCGTACTCTTCTTACGATTGTATACTTATTTCTGGACCTGTAAGCCACCGTCCACTAAAGTCAAGTGCTTGGAACCCCGGGCATTCTCTATTGCCCAAAGCGCCAAACCAGAAACTTGCCTCACAAGTCTAGAAGTTCTATAGGCCGTAGGCAGTAGGTATACTGATCAATGGATAGTGCGCACCGTAGTCGACAATTAGGCGCTGCGGTGCACTAAACCAGCAAGGCTACGTAAGCCGGCTGCGTTGCAGGGAATCGTGAATGGTGGCTAACCACACGCGGCGTGAATCCAGACCAGGAAGCCAAAGACTCGGAATTATACAATTCCATATGGATCGGTACTCGGCATGGGACATCCGACAGGCACGAGATTTCCAGATCCACGTCCGCTGCGCCACGAGGCTGACTTACGTATACTCCCGGTCAAGGCTCCACCGGTTCATTTCTAGACAGTTCCATTGGCTCACGGCAAGGAGACAAATGCTTAGCCCGGCGATCCATTGGTTCGGGTGCTTCTGGACTTCTTTGGCTCGGCGCTCGCGCCCATACAGTAGACTGGTTGGCCTATTAGACAACCAGACTCGCTCTTTAATGAGGAACGAACCAGCCATGGGAAAGGGCTCTCAAGAACCTTGGAAGCATTGTGACACAACTCTGTTAGAGGATAATGATAGTCCTACTGCCACTTAGTTCAACGCTCCATTAATATGCTAACATGCTTAGCCGACCATACGTAGGTACACGGAGGAGCCCAGGACAATGGGATTGCGCCGAGGGCGTCCTTGTCTTTGATCCTTGTGTATAGGTATAGGTGCGCCTTAACCAATTTCCAGTGCCTATATGGTAACGAACTTTATCGACCTCGCCATGGTTGTCTGCTTTGCTTTGCTTGATGAAGACCGGTGTTTCTCCCATGGAAACGTACAGATACCGCGAGAGGAATTGCAACCTTATGCTCCTTGTACATCTTCTAACTAGGTACAGTAGAGGGGCGCCCCGATCCGAAACGAGGGCAAATACACCCACGTGCGCTATCTCGGAATCGAGCTTGCGATTGATGGCGTCGTGGAGCTCACTCAACACTTACCATGAGGGCATCCGCGCCGCGGTCAAGTACCATCGAACTTGATCGTGGGTACTGAGCGATCCGTTTTCTAGTGAGTCGGTGGTTGCATGCTCTTTACACTTTCAGCTACCTAAACCACCAAGCAGTGCCTGGGGCGAGTAACTGGAATTCCTATCTAGGCTGTTTTGGCATTTGTTCTGGTAGAAGCAGAAACCTCATTCTAATGTTAGCTATATCTCTAGGCGAGCATCGGGATACAAAAATGGAATGAATCACTGATCGCGCACTGGGCAGCGACAGGACCATTATTTCACAGGGAGAAAATAGGTTGGAGAAGAAGTGAAAGCAAGCAGCGCTGGGGTATGACTCGCCAACGATTTGAAATTTATTATTATACAATAGGAAAACAAGAAACGAAGAGAACACACAATGCAATCTGTGGGTATTGGATACAAAGAGCGCTCCGTACAGAAATGGCACGCCAAGCAAAGCCGTCTAACCGACGCGATTAAACAAGCAGCATCATCGCAACCGCCGCAGCAACGGCCGACACGCCAACGCTAACATCGAGTTTCGATCCCAGCCCCGTGAACACAGGGTTCGAAGGCGCCGTCGGCGAGGCCGTGCTATCGGCGTCAACGCCGCTAGGCACAACATCCGTGGGCTCGTAGGACGAGGGTTCAGCCGTGGGAACGGTGACGAACGCCGAGGAGGACGAGATGATTGTGAAGAGGGGGACTGAGGAGGTTCCGGTGCCGGTGGGCGTTTCGAGGTCGTTGGGGGCGGTGTAGATTATGCTGTCTGGGGGGATGGAGAGGGTTTCGGTCTCTGTCTCGGAGTCGGGGGCGGAAGTGGCGCTGGGTGTTTCGACAGCAGGCGCAGTCTCGGTGCTCTGGGCTGTCACGGCGTTTGCGGAGCTAGAGTTGTCGCTTTCGCTTGCGGGGGCTTCGGGGCTGGATTGTGAAGGAACAGCTGCTGCTTCTGTTGAGGCCTCGGCGCTGGGGACGGCGTTTGCGGTTTGGAGGCTCTCGACTGGGCAGAGGGTTGTTGTGAGTGTGACGAAGCTGGTGGTTTTGGTCTTGGTGCTCTCACTGGCGACAGCACTGGCGGTTGAGCTCTCGACGGGGCAGAGCGTGGTGGTGGAAGTGACGTAGCTGGTGCTCTTTGTCTTGGTAGTTTGCGCGTTGGCGGCGTCAGCATCGACGTCCGAGGGCGCGCTGGCGGCGGTAGTGGCTGCGGCAGTGGCGGCGGCGGTCTCGGTGGAGTGCGAGGTGCTCACGGTCTCAGTGCGGGTGACGGAGTGGGTGCTGGTGGTGATTTCCTCGATGGAACCGCCGTTGTTCTGGGTGGACGAAGCGGTGCTTTGAGCGGCAGTCGTCTCGGCGGCGGCAGCGGTGCTGGTGGTGGCCGAGTCGGCGCCCGCGACTTCAGCGGTTCCACCAATCTGGTAGATCTTGATGGAGTTCAGCTCCCAGTAGGCGTTCTTGTACTCGGCTGGATTCTCGGCGACGTAGTTCACGCAGCTCTGGATGGGGTTGCTGGCGTCGCTGACGGGGCATCCGCTGTCGCCGAAAACACCGCCGGCCCAGTCACCGCAGAAGGTGGTGTCGAGAATGAGCTTCTGGTGGGTGAAGCGCTCCTTGAAGTTGCAGGAGCCCTGCAGGTGGGCCATGGGCGTGCCGAAGGTCGTAACGTCGGGGGTGCCGGCGGCAAGAGACTCGGGGATGGAAGAGCGGGGGAAGTACCAGATCTTCAGGTACTCCTCCTGCCACTCCATGGCGTAGACACCACCGCCGTTCTCGTTGAATGGGTCGCCTGAAGAGCCCTGCTGGCCTTTGACGACGCATCCAATTGTGCCCGAGGCCTCGCCGCACTCGCTTGAGGTCATGGTTCCGGTCATGTTGAAGCCCCCGCCGACGTCGCAGGTGCCGCTGGTGTGGAGCACGATCTCGTTCGCCTCGTGCTTGTTGACGCCCTCGATGATGTCGATTTCACCGTCCGTTGGCCAGTCCGGGCCGACGGTCCAGAACGCAGGCCATGTACCGCAGATGCTGCCGGGCATGTGCTGGATGTCGACGACGTACAGCCCCTGGTCGTAGTACTCGTTGCTCTCGATGCGGACAGACTCGCGGCCGGGACCGTCTGCGGTCAGAACAGTTTCATAGTCGACGCCGAGGTAGAGGCTGCCGCTGTCGGTGGTCTTGACGAGGCCGGCGGTCTCGGCGTAGCTCTGGTTGACGTAGGTAACGAAACCGTTGGTGGGGTCGGCCCCGTCGAAGAAGTTGAAGTGGTTGAGGATCTTCTCGCCCTCCCAGGACTCTTGGAGCTTGTAGGTGCCGGTGGCATGGGCGATGCCCGGGAAGATAATCGCGGAGGCGGCGAGAGAGCCGACCTTTCGCATCATGGAAGGCATTTGTGTATGGAATAGGGAATTGCGGGTTGGAGTGATGAAGATGCTATACAAAAGAAGGAAGTGACTAGCAAAGCAGTCGATCGATCAAGATCAGGCAAGTGAATGAAAAACGACCGTCAAGGCCGTAGAGTCAGATAAAAAGGAGGGAAATGCAGAATCGACCTGCGATTACGAACGAGCCCACAAAGAATGCAAAGGGCAGGATGAGAAAGGAAAGACAACGATATGAGAAGACAAGTATGCGAGAAAGAGAGCGGCGGCAGACCGGGGCAACGGTGCTATATACGCAGCAAAGAGCAGCCCACATGTTTGGGATCTGGGACGATGAATAGAGTGCGCTTGATTGGGGCTTCGGCCAATCCCCGGCCTGGAATGGGCGCTCAATGCAGAATTCGGCGAGGCATAAGCGAATCAGCGAGCTGGACGAGGTCGAGGCCAGGAACACTTGGACAGGCCAAGGGGCATCATTCCCCAAGCAGGCATTGGCGACTCCACCGGGGCAGTTCTGAAACGCGACGAGAGTTGGAGATGTCAACGTGAAACAGGAGAGCCCGGCAGCTGGCATTCAAGGGCAAAGCAGCGGCAATGATTGTCTGCGTAGTGTATCATGATACTACAGTCTGAATGGATGTGTTCATTGACAATGGTATCATGCGTAACTGACAACGTCAAGTGCTCAATGGTGGCATGGCAACACATTCCCGTCTCTCTTGCGCCACAAGGGAAAGTGACCGATCGGGGCGCCAACCCGAGGCCAGCGTCGCACCTTTTGCTTGGGTGGCAGCGAGTCAGCGACCGCGAGCGATGGACTGAGTCGAGACTCTCGGCTGTGGAGCTGCTGTGCGAGCTCGGCTGGCGCCAACAAAAGCCTCTTCATTAGCCAAGAGCAGGGCATGATGAGAGTGAGCGGCGAATGATTCAGCGAGGATCTGCTTTTGATGCATTTCTTTTCGGAGTTACGGATGCCTCAGGCAGAAATTGGTCATGTGAGATTGGGATAAGAATTAAGGGGTAAATAAAATATAAAATTTCTTAGGATCTAAAATAGATAAGAATGTGAGAGTTTAATATTTAGATACAGGAGAATTTAAGCTATATTTATCCCTTTTTTTTTTTATATTTTATTTCCTAATTAGGCTGTGAGATCCGGCCAAAGTTAGAGGTTAATTCTTTTTTTATTTTTAAAGGTTAGTTAAAGTTATTTAACTAAGTTTACCATAAAGATCCAAGGGATCTCCACCTTTTATTTAATATACCCCCTAGTACTTAAAAAAACAAAAATGTTAATACTAGGTATTAAAAATAATTTTAATTTTAATAAGGCTAAGTTAGTAAATAAATATTTTATAGCACGGGCTATTAAAAAGTTTGGTAAGGCTATTTATTAGTTAATTTTTTATTTTTATTTAGTTAACTTTAATTTTTTTATTCTAACACTTCTCGCAAAGCCAGTAATAGTAAATATTAACATGTTAAAGTTATATAATAAATATAAGATTATTTAAGTTAAGTAATTATATAATTTAGGTATTATTATAAAAAAGGCTTAATTTAATCTCTAAATTAAATTTTATGGCGTTAAAAAGTCTTTTTTACTATATAAAGTTTTTTGCTCCCTTAGTAATAGTAAGTAATTTAGCTTTAGTAATAAAAATAGTAATTATTTTTTACTTGCAAGTGTTTTAGTTAATTAAACCTTTAAATAACTTTATAAGCCATTTATTAAAGCTACGTTAATTAAAATTATTATTAAAAAAAGTGTTAAATGTTATAGTAATAATTTCTTTAATATTAGCTAAGTATTTAATTCCTAGGTCCTTCGTGGTAATAAAATATTAAATAGTATACTTGGCTACCTTAATATAAGTCTTAATAAGCTATATTATATACTAAGTAAGTTTACTAGCTACTTTAAAGGTATTAGGGCGTGTTATTGTGGTAAAATAAAAAAATAAGCTAATAAGTTATTAGTATAAAAAAATATTTTACTTTGTAAGCATATAATCTAAAAACACAGGTATTAATTTTTTAATAAGTAAAAGTATTTTTAATATTTTACTTAGTGCTATAAGGTTGTATTTAGCCTGTAAACTATTAATATAGGAATTTTAAAGTAGCTAGATTTTTTAATTATAATAATTGTGGATAATTTTAATATTTAGGAATTACTTTACTTTATTAAGATTTTGTAATTTATATATATACTTTATATATTTAATAAAGTTAGTGGCTTTTTTCTTGGCTTTGGCTAATCTCTTGCTTATAATAAGTATATTATTAATAAAGAAAATAACCATAAAATACTTTATAATAAAAAGGCAAGGCTTTTTTAGCACTAGCTTAAAGCTATATTTAAAAAATGTTAAAAATATCTTTTTTTACTAAATGCGTGGTAATTATCTAAGGCCATATAGGGGTTAATTTAATTTAAATACTCTGCCTTTAACGCGCCAGGGGCTAGGTAATGTTTTAATATATATTTTTTTATTTATAAAGCTTTAAATAAAGGCGTTAATAATATTTAATTAAATAATATTAAGGTTAAAATAAGTAACAAGCACTATTATAAATTAAAATAATTAGGTAGTAAAAGTTACTACTGCGGTATTAATATAATTACTAGGTTAAAAATCTCCCCTAGCGCAAAGGCGCGCTTTAAATTTATTTAAATAGCCAGCGGTGTTAAATTTATATTTAAATACTTATATAAGCAGTATAATAATCTTGCCTTTTAGTATAAAAATAATTTTAAAGGTATAAAATTTTTTAAGAGTACCAAATTTAACCCTAGCGGCCTTTATAAACTAGTTTTTATATAAATACTTTATAAGTTCTGCCTAGTTCTTTAGTTTTTTTTAAAGCTAATCTTAGTAAATAGCTTTGCCTGGTACCTCTCGCAATAGTTTAAAAGGCTTAAAAATTACTAAGTAAAAAAAAATATAATATTTAGTAAAGTCTTTTACTAGCTAATAAAGGAGTTTAGTATAAAAAACTTTAGAAAAAGGCCTTTATTTTAAGCAATCTTTATTTATAAAATTTTTTAAATCTTGCTTTTAATACAGATAGTTATATTAGGCCTTTTTATTTAATTTAACCTGTGTAGTTAGAAGTCTAGGATTAGGGTTTTACTTCCCTTTTTTTATATTAGTTTTATGCGGTTTTAGGTTAAATTTTTTAAGAAAAAGCAATATTGGCGTTTTTTCTTTATTATTATTTTTATTTATATTATTTTTTAGTTATGGGAGCCCTCCAGCGCTATTATTTTTAAAGTTAAGTATTTTTTTATTTTTCTTGCTTTTTACTACCCAGTCAAGTATTATTAAAATAATTTTATAGTTATTATAGGTTTAAAAGTTTTAATTAGCTATAGTACTTGCTAAGCTCGGGCTAGCAGTAAAAATAAGCAAAATTATAGGGTTCTTATTATTATATAATATTAAATTACTAGGTAAGTTAAAAATAGCTTTATTTTAAGCATTAATTTTAGCGTGAGGTTTATTATTTTTAACCTTTTTATTCTTACTTATTTTTATGTTATTAGGCTTGGGAGTAGGCTTATTTTTATTATTAAGTTTAAAAAAATTATTTTTAAAGCTAATAAAAAATAGTATATTAACTAGTTTTTTTTTTTTNTTTAAATATTATAGGCTTTTTTATATTTATAAAAATATTTAATAGCCGCTCTTAGCTTTATTTTATAAAAGTTAGGGATTTTTAGCCACTAGTAAGTAAGTAATTTAAACTTAAAAATATTAGCTATATTTACTAGGCAAGTATTACTTATTAATACTTAAAACTTTTAAAGCAGTACAAATTATTTATTTTTCTTATTTTTTATAGGCGTGTAATTTAATATATAAATAAATACTTTTATAACTTTAAATATAAGATTTTAAAATATATTAGCGGCTAATAAAAGCGCTCTAGCTTTTTATAAAATAATTTTTTTTAATTACTTGCTTATACTATTTTATTTAAGTGTATTAAAAATAGTAATTTTAAAGGCTAAACCCTATTATTTTTTAATAAATTTAAAGTTATTTAAGAGCTATAATATCTTATTATTTATGTAAAGAAACTAGATATAAAGGCTAAATTACCTAAAAGTATAGGTGTTAAGTAATTAAACAGCACGCTGGTAATTATTTTTTTTAGCATGTAGTATTATTTACCTTATTTAAGTAGTATTATTTAAAAAATAAAAGGCGTATTTTATATTATTTTAAGATGCTTTAAAAGTAAAAATATTAAAATAAATCCTCTTAAAGGGTTGGGTTACTTTAGTTAATTTAATTTATAATATTTACTTAAAAAATTATAAGAGTTTACATAGCGCGTAAAGCGGTTTTTTTTTTTACTTTTTATTAAAAAACTAAGGCGCCGGATTAATTTATATACTAGTTGTAAATATTAGGAGTTTAAATACTATATTAGCGTTAAGGTGGCCTATACACTTATACTAAATTTTTAGGCTTTTTAATAATGTTTTTAAAGTTATAAAGCGTTAAATTTTTGTCTTTATTATAGTATAAAAGGCCTTAATCTCTTTATTATTATTAATATTAAATTTCTTATAGTAAAGTATATATAATCCATGATATTATTTAAGTATATAAAAGTTTATTTTTTTTAAGTCTTTAAGAGTCCTTTTATAACTACTAAAATATAGATTTATTAACATGGCTTTATTAAGGGATATAATAATAGTATAAAAGCCGGGAACATAGGCGTAATTCTTAAGTTTTAAAAGCCTTTTTAAGTTATTTAATCCCTTGTAAAAGACGCGAAGTATATTAAACTTTTTAATTTTATTAATAATATTACTAATAAAAATAATATTATTTTTAAAGGCGTCGCGAATATTAATTATTTTAGTAAGGTTATTAATAACATATATAAAGAATCCAGAGTTAGTAATAATGCTTTTATATAGGCTATATTATAAGCTATTAAATAATAAATAAGCAATTATTATTATAACTTTCTCCGGGTTTTTAAAGTTATTTTTTTTAGCCTTAATTTTAAATATTATAGTATTAAATCTAGATCTTTTAAAGGCGCTTAGTACTCTTTTTTTAATAGTTAAATCCTGCATATTTTTTTTTACTTTTTATAAAGTTTCCTTTTAAGGCTCCTAATTTTTTAAAGCTTTTTTAGCGTTAAAATACTAGCAAAAAGTAATAAAATATAAATAGCTATATACCAGGTATGTTACCTTTAATTTATTATTTTTATTTTTACCATTTTTCTTGAATTTCTTGTTATTTTTGGTGTTTTTATTTTTTTTATTTATTAAGTTATTTTCTTCGAGCGTGGTAAAGGTGCTATTTATTAGCTATTATTTAAATTTACTATATATAATATAGACGGCCTAAAGCATATAAAATACTCTAAACTCTTTAATAATATTAGTAAAGTTCTTTTTCTCTTTGGAAAGAATAGCCATGTAAAGCCTTTAACTAAACTTTTTATTAATAATTATAGTAGTATATATAAAGTTTTAAAGCATGTTAGTATTTTAATTATTAGTAAAAATATTAAACTTTTTGGCTTTGGTAAATATACTAACCTAGTGGTTATACTAATTATTAATCTACTTTTTAATAAAAAGGCCTTAGTAAATAACTACCTTTTTTTATTTTGCCTTAATCTTTGTTTAGCGGGTAATATTAAATTACATATAATACTTTATAAAAAGTTAAAGCATTGCACGCAAATATTTTTAGCTATATAAAAGTTACTAATAAAAGCTAAATATAGTTAAAATTATATAAGCTATTATTATACCTAGCAAAGCTTTATATTTCTTTTTTTAGGTAAAATATTTTTTTATAATAATATAAAATCTGCCTTATTTATTAGCTATTAAATAACTTATTTAAAGTTTGCCTTTCTTAAAAATATTAAAGCAATAATCTTTAAAAATTAGCCTTGGGCCAATAGAAATGGGTAGTAGGTTTTTATTATTAATTAAAAAATTAATATAATTTTATATTATAAGGCCTATAGCTATTAATTTAATAATTTAATACCATGGGCGCCATATATTAGGGCTGTTTAGGGTTATAGTGTTAAACTAGGTGTTTATAAGTAAAAATTAAAGGTTTTTTATAGCGTATTATATAGTAAATAAAAAGAACTTTAAAAGTTTAGATTTGGGCAGTAAATAATTTTAAGGATAATTATATAAATAATATTTAAAAAAGTAAAGTATAAGCCGGGCTTATAACTTTTAGAGTTATAAATGCCTTAGGCAAAAATTAGTTATATAAAATTAAAATAAAAATTAAGGGGTAAATAAAACATGAAATTTCTTAGGATCTAAAATAAATAAAAATATAAAAGTTTAATATTTAAATACAAGAAAATTTAAGCTATATTTATCCCTTTTTTTTTTATATTTTATTTCCTAATTAGGCCGTGAGATCCGGCCAAAGTTAGAGGTTAATTCTTTTCCTATCTTTGGAGGTTAGTTAGAGTCATCCAACTAAGTTTACCGCGGAGATCCAAGGGATCTCCACCTCTCGTCCGACATTTCTTTGTTCTGGGCCAGAATGATGCCAGACGAGACGCCAGGCAAGACAGAGGAGAGGTGAAGGTGAGGGGAAACAGGAGAGCGAGAGGCTCAGAGGCGGGACCGGGAGCTCTTGGTGCCTTACGTCTGAGGCAGAAGGCTCAGGCATCAATTGCAGTCACGTGGTTGCCTTGTGATCTATACTAATGCTCGAGCCATGGGTTGCAGTAGTTCATCCGTGGAACTCCAACACCCAGTCGGCCTTATTTCAGCCAGCAGTGGGTCATATCTCCCATGTTAGCGTTATGCAACTATGGAAAGAGCGCTGAGCATATGATATCTGGCAATGCTGCCTTCTTTCGGCCGGAAATATATATCTGGCGGAGTCTAATCAAGGGAAACTAGCAGATTCCACGAATACCTTGTAGCAAAGCCAATATACCGAATGCTGCTGCTTTCATGTTAATATGGGAAGGAGAGACGAACAACAGCTTGAAAGTACAGCTGCTCTACGAGTTATACAAGCTCACTCACTGCTGTCTGTCTCGACCGGCCTGCTAATGACCATTCTCTTTTTATTTAGAAATATCTACAAGATGTGGTGTTCCTGATACCCTCCAGGCTTTACACTCGAGGCAAATATCATATAAGCGCTGAATAGCTGGAAGCATGGAAGATGTGATAATAAGTATGACCTAAGATCCTGCAGGCAATGCTAGCTTCCACCAAGTCAAGTTACCACAATGAAATGCCAAAGCCCTGGACCGCGAGATCAGTCTCTGTAGGAGATTACCAGCAGCGACTCGGAGTATCAAGGTATCAAGGAAGCAATCGACACCGCTTAGATCCCAAGTCCTTCAACGCCAACCCGCCCGCAACCAGG